TAAAGGTCATTGCACAAGCAGCCCTTGAAGTTCAATTACTTCAAGGCCCATATACCACCCAAATCTGTGTCTCTGCTGTAAGATTTAAAATGCACCACTATTTTCTATAGCATCTTGCATGCCATCTGTTTTCCAAATCAGTTTCCTCAGCTGCATATTTAATTACTGAGATAAGAGCTAGAGGGGGGAGGATATGGAGTTGGAGGTAAGGGAAATTTGTGAAGCGTCTGCACTCAATTCTCCCTTTCATTGTGCTAAGATATGGGGTGGCATTTCAGAGCAAAGGGGACCTGGTCATACCAACAAGATCCTCAGCTTCCCCATCTCCCTGAAGGGGGTCGATGCAGGGAACAGTCTCACCATGCTGGGCTTTCATGTTCTTGACATAACACAGGGCATGAACCAACATCCATCCTCCTCCTGTTATCCAAAACTCTTCTTTCCCTTTCTCTATTCCCTTTTTCTTTGAGGCTGGCACTCAGCCATTGGTCATACTTGCACCTATGGGAAAGCCAGTGTTAGACTTAACTTTTTTCAAACCCATTATTCCTGTTCCTCACAGACGTAGGTGGTAGACTGGGGGCTGAGCTTTGTTGGAGTCTCATTTTCTTGGGGCAACCTGGAGGGATTTGAGAGGGGCAGGTCATGTTTGGTCAGAGCAGCTAGACTAAGGGAGTGGAAAAGGGTCTGAGAAGCAAAAAGGGTGATGTTAAATAACTCTTGCACTGTTAGCTCATGGCTGCATAAAAAGTCAGACTCTCTCATGGAACTGACCGGGGAGATTAAAAATAGCTCTTTGTTTTTGTTGATGACAAGGTAATTTTAACACAGATCACTCCCCGATCTGCTGTGCTGAGTGGCAACAAGCAGAGAGATGTGGGAATAAGTGGGTGGCACAGGGGCCAGAAAGTAGGAGGTGGAAGAGTCTCACCTCCTTGAGAACAGCAGTATCTAGTACCGAAAATTCAAGCGTGGCTTCCCTTCGCAAGGCTGAGTGACGAAGGAGAAACGGGCTTCCCCTTGGTGCGAGGACCCTCTAGGCGAGGTGTGTGTGCTCCTGCTTTCACTGCACGATCTCAGCAGCTCGGCCTCCTGCTCAGAGCATGACAGAGTTCTCTCCCCATGATCGCACCACATGGTCCTTCACAGGCTTTTTTTCATCTGGTCTCTTACAGTGTGTTGGACAGAGAAGAGAAATTAAGTAAAAGAAGTCACCATAATGCTGGTGGAGGTCTCTGGTGGCTTTATCCTTCTTCCTAGCTGCCTTCCTATCCCAGCATGGATGTATGTGCATTTCCCCCCACTGAAATGGATGCATCTTCCCTAGACAAGAGCAGTAGAAATTCACCCACAATATTTTCTATTTTTCTTGTTTTCCTCTGATGGTCTCAGTACAAGATATTTAGGTCTAATCCCACCAAAACAAACAGAAATTCATGCTGGACAACACTACCAAGTTAAGAATCTGAAATTTTCTTACCTGCCCTGTTTCAACAACCACAACATACTTGACACCAGCACTTCCTTTTGCTTTTTTCCTCCTCCATTTTTGTCATTGAAAGTTCTGGCATTGTAGAGGCAATATTTTAGCTACCCTGGGAACTACTGGAGGGTGCTGAGGGGACTTGTTCATTCACCAGAAAGTTTACAGCAAATTTGTCACAGCCTGACCAGATCTAATTGGTGCAATGTGTAAAGAAACAGGTTCATTGGATATTTTTAGTGCTCTCTAACCTTTCTAGCACAGAATTGTTAGGCATTAATTAATTCCAGCTGTCTAAAGTTTTTTTGAAGTTGGATTCTCACAAATAATTTGGCTCCAGGTGTCTTTTAGATCCAATGGTAAGACAACAGGATGCTGGCATTTATCATGTGTAGTGTCTTGAGCATATCTTTTCTGACCTGTTTGATATTTTGGACATTATATATTTCTTTACCTCTTTATTGCCTTTGTAAGTATCTGTTTTTTTTTCTCCTAGTGGTTTCATTACTGCTAGTCATTGATAGGCAGAAGAAATGCCCCCAATTAACACATGGACCTTTCTGTAGCTGTCATTTGTTTGCATAACATTTTCTTCCCTAGCTAAGCTGCATGGAGCATTCTGAACACCCTCACTTTGCTTTCTGCATCCAATTATTTTTACTCTGTGTTTTTACAGTGTAGCTCCATTCATACGAAATCTATTTGGGTAACTTTACTACATGCCATATGGTCTGTATTTGATTTTCCAGGAAGTTTGGGTGTTCTTATCCATAATGCCCTTAGTCTCTTTTTAAATTTCAAGGTTCTTTAGTCTTTGTGGTATAGAAAACAGAATTGGAGGGTCTTCTTCCTGTGCTACAGCCTCAAACCTGGTCTGGGCATAAACCAGATGCATTTATCCCATGTATCCAACAAGAGTGGGAGAGATCAGGTGATTATAGTGGGAACATATAATTTTTAAAATTTCTATTATTAAGCTTCCAAAGTGAAAATTATTTACATAACTTTGCATCATGCGCTAATGCAAACAAATGAAATATGTTCCTATTCCTATTGACATATATGTGTATCACTGCCAAGGACAGGGAGAATTTGCAAAGGAGTGTGATACCAGTGCTGATTCCTTCATGCTTGCAGACTGATGCAGGGATCTAGTGCTAGTGTCCTGTGGAGCCACCCAACGTGGATGCTTCCCTCTCTGAAGATGTCTTGCACTATTTTCCCCCAACACTTTGCTACATTGATGATTAATGGAGACACTTCAGCTGAAAATCTCTTGTGCTTACCAAGCACAAGAGACAGTGTGTAGAGACAGTGTGTCCCCATCATGTGCCTCTGCAGTCCCCGCCATGTGCTGGAGCCCCCCAGCTCAGGGATGGAAGGTCTCAGCATGGAGGGAGGAACCAGACCAGTGCCGAGTCGCAGCTAGGCTGCCTCAGTTTCCTCTCTCCTTGAACCCTGAAGGTGTGTGCACCCACCTGGAGCATCTCTGGGGGCTAGGGCATGCTTCTGCCACCCTTTCCAGTTGGGAGTTTGGTTAAGGAGGGGTGGGGAGGGCCCCTGCAACTAGGCTTGGAGTGCACCCTCCCTGTGCTGATCGTGGGCACCCTGCCTGGTCAGTGAGAGCCATTAGGGGGACTTTAGCCTCTTTTGGGGGCCCTAGGACCTCTGCAAAAGCAAACCTGTGGGTGTTAAAATGTTTTCCCTGGAGACTAAAAGGCTCTGAGGTCTGCAAAGAGCTTTGCCCTCTTGGATCATGGTGCCTCTGCGCCTGCTTGGTACTGCTGACTACTACTGCAGGTCTCAGGAAGCTGGGACCATCTCTTATCCCACACAAGGCTGCCTGTTGCAGCAAGGTTTCGCATGGTGCAACTGACAGTAACCACCCACCTGGGGTATAGAAAGGACATCAGGCCTCTGCAGAGCCAGCAGCTGCTGCATGATGAGCACCACCAGCAGATCATTGCAGAGGGGTGGCCACCGGTGGCTCAGTGATCAGCACAGCCCACGGCACCGCTGCCCTCCTGGCGCCCTCCTGACACATGGCCTGGGGCATCCGCTGCAGAGCACACCCCCAGCCCCACAGAGCATTCACCCTGCCAACAGCAGAAGGGGTCCTTGCTTTTGCAATGTCTCCATGAATTAACTGGAACGCAGTATTTTTCCTCTTGTTCTTCTTTTTCTGCTGGTTTTTTTTTTTTTTTTTTTGCACAGGTTGGGACTGGTATTGTACCAGAGCAATGTGTAAAACCTTGGCTAGTAACATTTGAAATTTTCACCTGTGTTATTTTCTGACACACTGGTATTGCCTGACACACGTCCTGCCTGCCGTAAGATGTCTGACACACAGTTATTTCTAATGAATGCATAATAAAGCAACTCATAGTGAAGACAGGCACTGGCAGGAAATTGAAATTATGGTACAGCAAATAACTTACCAGACAAAACTGCCAGCTGGTAGGTATGAAGCCCAGATACAAATCCATTTTATAAAAATAGAAAAAGTATATAAAGTCCATTTTATAAAAATAACAAGGTTAAAATCTAGATTCTGGTGATATTTTAACAGGAATCACCTACTGTGTTCTTTCTGAACTAGAAGATACTCTTTGTGTTTCAGTTTCTTTGCTGGACCATGTAAAAACATTCATATCTATCTTTGTCTGTAATGGTGGCCTTGTTTCTCCTGTGTGGAGATATTAACTGTACATTATTTTATCATTATCACTGCTCTTTTGTGTCTACATTGGCTTCAGGACAGAATAGAGCTCAGAGATAAACTTTTATATCACAAACTAAAAATCTAACAATTCCCTCAGCCTTCACTACATATCCCGTCAGCAAATAGTTCACAGTACAAAATAGAAGCCAATAAATCATTCTTTCTTTTAAATAAACAGAATTAACTTGTCTTAAACACTTCTGATGACCAATTAAGAATAACTGAGACACAGAACATACTGCCAAGCACCCTGACCTCACAAGAATGTTAACAGTTTTTAAGAACTGTGGAGGGCAGGAGGAGAAGAAATACATTTGTTAAAAAGCATGGTTCAGATCCTCGACTGGTAGGCAGAGATGGACCTCCAGTGCGGTGCTAATTGGTACAATTGCCTGGTGAAATGTCTCTAAAATAACAGGCACTCAAGTTCAAGATCCACTGTGGTTTTAAATATCCATCGCATAACTCAGACAGTATCTGGTTTAATAAAGGAGGAGGGTGGAGAACCAGAGAGGAGAAAGGAACAATGGTATCTTTCCACATGGGCACTAACATGGCCAGTGGGCAACAGCAGAGCCCCCTTCCCCCAAACAGGCTGAGGCTTCTGATGAATTTAATGTTCTCTGAAGACCATCTCAACTGAAATCAAACTGACTTATGACCTTTTCTCTGAGCAGCAGGACAACAACATCCATAATGCAAAGGCAGTCAAACAGAAGACAAGAATGTGATTTTTTAAAAATGAATGTTTTATTCATGAACTATTTATAAAATTGTGTAAAATATACTCAAATATATTTGTTTTGTTGACTGTAGTTAAAAATATAAAAATATACTTAAATGCATAAATTAAATTGACAATAGTAGCACAGTTCTGTGTTCATCCAGTGTTTGTTAGGAAAAGTCATTATAAGTAATTATATTGCATATGAGAAAGGAATATGTGCTGAAGACGTTTTTCAGACACTTTACTCCAGGAAAGAATTTACGGCTAGACACATTTCAAAATTGTGGGTTTTTTCTTTGGCCATAGTGGTGCTACCAACAGCTGAGGAGTCTGACACTATCAGCCTGAGAGGGATAGTTGAGGGCACAGGGTCTACAGTGAGTTGCCACCGGAACTATAGGTCCCAAAGCTCACAGCTCCAGAGCCCACACATCTGTGACAGGGCCATCATGGGAGTGGTGGTCATTCTATAATGCATTTTATTCACACAAATTGTATGTCTGAAGTATGGAAAGAAATCTGAATAAATGTTAAACACTTGCTACACCACTCCTTGGTCATGAAGCTGTGGCTGCAGTATGCAGTATCTCTGAATGTCAGATGCATTTCTCTAATCTGCAGCCCTGGGAGGAGATGCTAATATAGTGATTAGATGGTTACTGTCCCATATATTAAATCCCAGGCTGAGGAGCTTGGCTAAGTGCTCATGTACTCCTCTCTGTCTTGTATTTAACTTCTGGTTTCAAAGTTAAAGCGTAAATAACCATATACAATACATAATATAAACTTAAAGCTCACACATTTTCTTTTCTCTGTTCTACAACTGAAAGGAAATTCATAGTATATCATGGCACAAAATAATATTTCTGGCAATTTTAGGCATTATTTATTGCTAAATAACTATAGCAGCAGAGAAAAATGTATAAAGTTGCACTTTTATGACATCTTCACAGTATGCCTATTTCTCTCACCCACTTTTGTGTTCCATTAGTAACAAAAAATATCACTTATCAACTCCAGCTATGTAAAATCCTTTTTTTCCCTACATTCGGTAGTGGATCTTGTAATTGTATTGCACAGATTAAAAAACTCATTTATTACAATTTTTTCATTATTAAATAACTTTCAATACAAAAATTTGAATTAACCTAAAAGCCCAACTCTGCAAGTGCTTCAGAAGTGGAATGGTATTTTCTTCAGGCAAGCATTCTGGTTGACTTTCGTGAAAGTACTCAGGTAGCTTTGTGGACAATCCAGAGATTCGCAGGACTGGGCTCCAAGTGTGCAAATCGTAGCTTATGGATCTGCTACAACACTAGCCTTGCTTTATAACATTATTATTGGGAAACATCAAGAAGGGAATTCTGAGCGTTATCCATGGACATTCAAAAGATATCTTTTTCCTTAAGACCTGTCTCTGTTCAGTACAGTCTCCTTCAAATCCATTCTTGTTACATTAACAATTTCCCATCAGGCCTGTTATTCAGCTTAGAGGCACAGTAAATATAATTAATTATACTGCTATGTAGGCGTTTTATGTTAATATGCTACATAGATAGTTTTAACTTTTTCTCACTGGATTTACACTGGTTTCATATGAGCAGAATTGGCTAGAGAGCAGAACCAGAGCAATAATGTGTGTGGACTGTCTTATGTGTGACCTAGCTGGGCAGAGATGTAAAGCTGCTTGTGAGCACTCTGCCAGAGCACTTAAGGTCATCTGTCACATTAATAAGTGATGAAGAGGAAGATGCTTATGAACTGTGTCCATTATTAGCTGAGAGAAAAGATGAAACTAGTCGTCTGCTATGACATTATCGTTTTGGGTACACATTTGTGAACTCTGTAGATGCAGACAAGGGAGCTGAGAACAATAAAATAAAGAGTAAAATGATGTGCGTCTTTCTGAAAATGATGCACAACATGCATACACAGTGTGCAATCAGACTTTTGCTCTCAGATCCTTTGTTACTGAGTGAGTTCTATTCCTCAGCACTAAAAAAATCACACAGTGATATATAGCGTGAAGTAATTTATAGGATACATTTGGTATGTCTTCACAGTGTAATTAACATGTGCTGGTAACTAACATGGTGACCTTTGCTCCTCAGCTATCCCTGAAAAAAGAAAGGACTAAATGCAGCACATGTAACACAACAGCAGTTTTTATGACGCCTTAAGTCCAGCGGTTATTAGCAGGGTCAACAGTCGATGTAAAGCTGCCATGCTTGTTTGTCCTTGCTTGCTAACCTAGTTAATCTAGCAAAGGAAACAGAGAAAAAAAGCACTCTGAACATTTCTTTGTGGTTTTGCTTAGATTTCCCCTGTGAAAATGTCTTCCACTCTAATGCTAGTTCCTTTCTTTTTCAGTTCCAATTAAGGGTGGTGGATTTTGGGGTTTGTGTGGTGCCAAAGAGGATGTACAGGAGGAATGAACAGTATTTTCATACAGAAACACCTAAAAGATTAACCAAGCTTCCATGTTTTGAGCAGCTGTGAAAGCTGATATGAAGGGTGGCTTCTGAGGCATATGAGGATATTTGGTCAAGAAAGGATGAGACTCCAGATGAGTAGGAAGGAAGAGTGACTATCAGGCTGTTTCCTTCTCTCTAAGAAGACCACGGGGATATGGATGTGCATAGTCCTGCTGGTTCTGCTTTGGAATGATTTCTTAAGAAAACTCTACCAGGAGCTGCCTGGTAGATTTCTTCAGCCACTGTCAGGCAGATATTCCTACAGCAAGGAGGATGCAGCTCCAGTAAGGCATGTGGCACAGGGCCACAGCAGTTCCTCAGTTAGGCACTTAGCCACTTATTGACTGGTTCTCAGAAGGCCTTCAAAAGTATTTATTTATCTCCAAAACAGAAGTTGAATTTAGGCAATTGTCTTCAGTAACAAGCTAAGTTTTCTCTAGGGAATGTATAGGTAGATATATGAAAGAAGAATTATCAAGCCTTTCTTTCTTTTTGTGATAGAGAAGAGGCAGTACATAGTTATTCTCCATTTCTTTGAAGAACACCTAAAAAGACAAAGAATAGCTGAACAGCGTTTAGACCCTTGAGTGAGAAGCCTCTGCAGAGGAGAGAGGCTGTGCATAATCCACTTGGCTGGACAGGATACCTGCTGAGTGCTCTTTGATTTTACTTCTTGCTAGTCAGTAAATGTTTTGAGTAATGACTCCCTGCCTGGGGCACGGGGAGTTGGAACTAGATAGTCTTTAAGGTCTCTTCCAAACCAAACCATTTGATGATTCTATGATTAGCACAGACCTGCCAGCCTACATTCCCTGGCTTACCGATGAGCCTTTTTCCGTTCCAACTGCCCTTGTTGGTGGGCATCAGGCAACATTCACGTGGAGGATTCTTTCTATGCAGACATGCTGGGGCCAAACTTTGAAGGTGATCAACACTTGGGGCAAGTAGCATAAAGCCAGTTGTGTTAATTGTTAGAGATATATATGTTTGCAATCTATCTACTTTTTGGCTCTCATGGCACAACATTGTTTCTAATGAGCTAAGGAAGTTGTCAAGACTTCACATCCTCACAGGTCTGTTAACACAAATGTCTGAGGCATTTTTTGAACATTTTTCTTAATTATAATTATTCACACATGAAAACGCATAGACAGGTTGTGGTCTGATTCTGCTCTCTTAAACCAGTGTAAAGAAATCAGAATATGACCTGTCTCCCCTCAAAGTATGTGGTGGGAGATAGGTCTATTAGACTTCACTGCAGCGTTATGTTGCTCAATATTTTTCTCCTATGTCACATTAGACTGAAACAGTTGCTTCCGGTGAGGTGAACCCTGTTTTGCTCAGTTGTTACTGAGTTCTGTAAAAGGTATGTCATTGTGTTACAGGTTATACCCATTTTTCTCAGATGAAAAGCAGTAAGTTTAAAGTGTAGAGTAGCATTGTAACTCCTATACAGGACTACTGTTCCCTTGCTTAATAGTAGCTTATTTCATCTCACAAACACTGAACTAGTTAAAAAAAATGAGGTTCTCCTTAAAGGATTTTTCCTGTGTCATGCCAATACCGCCCCAGATGCAGCAGTCCTGTTAGCCAATGAATTAAAAATAGTTTATGTAGAACAGTTTATAAAAACTGTGATAAGAAAAAAAATAGTATTATCTGAAGCATAATATTAATATAAACAATATAGAAAAAATACATATTTACATAATGCCAAAATACAATTATATACATTAATACCTATTATATTTAAATTATATATCTTTTTAAAAAATCACCAGACCAATAAATTATACAGTCTCATCAGAAAGGTCTGGCACCTTTCTGGTGCATGAAATACACATACAAAAAATCCCAAACAAACCCCCGAGTTAACAAGTGTGGTCACAAAAGTAGATATCTCTAACATTCTTAGTGCCTTGAATAAACAGCATCTGAAAGCAAGGAAAACTGATATTAGAAAAAAGGTAAACAACACAGGTGGCTTCATGTTCAACTCTGCCAGCTGACTACAGTGCTGAGAGGAGGTTACGTGGCAGCAGCGCTGGCTGGTGACTGATGTGACAGCAAAAAGCAAATCCCACCTCTGCTTTTGCTAGGACTCTCAACTTGTAGAAACCTGGCTGAGTCCCTGGCCTCCTCCAAGCCTGTTCCACCTATTGATGACAACTCTGATTTCTACAAGCTAGATCAAGAAAAATGTTTTGATCTCTCATTATATAATCTCAGTTCCTAATGTCCAAATTTCTGGAGCTACTGAGATCCTGTTGTTTGACCCTAAAAACTTCTACAGACCTTAAGAATCAGCTCTACCAATGCACACAGACCAGCTCTGCTTACAGCTTCTTCAAACTGGCCGTCTGGCCATGGGAACAGGAGGTGAAGGGCAGTGATAGTGCCAGGTTTGCTACTCCTGCAAATCTGATCAGTGAGGGACTGGATACAGGCTAGGAAAAAGAGCACAGCCTACAACCCCTACATTTTCCAGTCAAGGCAGATAGAAAGTCTCCTAAGGCTGCCTATATAGTCAACAGCAAATGAGGGTGATGCAGGACAGAAATTGAACTCCATGAAGGACAGAAGAGCCCAGTGAGCACAGCCAATGGCCTCAGTATACTTAAGGGTGGATGGTGTAAAGACTGGTGAGGTAAAAGCCAATACCCTGATAGGAAAGTGGTTCGGTTCCCCCAACAGCATAGGAACCATGAAGTGTGAGACAGGGTAAGGTAGGAGCAGGAAGTGATATTATAATGACTAATAATGAAGGAAATAAAGACACAACTGCAACAGTGACAAGAGCAGAGGAGTGAAGAAATGAAGGTCCAGGAAGAGAACAAGTATCAATGGTAAGGGATAACACAATTCCCCCTCAATTACATTTGAAACATTTTACAATTTGATAAACTTGCAGTTACCTCTGTGATACTCTGGATTCACATTTTCATATATTGGAAATAAGGGATTTTCTTGTTCACTGCGAAGTTTTCTGGCTCTTAACACATCCCTCACACATTGATGTAGATACACATATTGACACTGCAAAAGATTTGTATTTAGGACACTGAGAAATTCTGTAATTTAATTTTCTGTATTGTGAAAAAGCATTACAAGCGAACTCCCTCACACATAATCAAGGGTGGTGTTAAAAATGAAAATATACTTCTAAAATTAATCTCCTTTTCACACTAGTAATATAGTAAACTTTTGTGATCACCTGTTCTTACAAATAATACCAGTCAAAAATAAAGGAATATATATCTTTTGATGGATCATGCCATAAGTGAAAGCTCTAGCAACTGCAAAGCATAATTTGATATGGTGCTGTGTTGGATAGCTACTACTTCTGAATGCTTTGGTATAACATGTGTAAAAGAATTAATATGTACAGGGAAGCAGGCGGAAGAGACAAACAATTTTCTGTTGTTTTGTTTTGGTTTTTTTCTGAAAACAAATATTTTCCACAGAGTTTTATTATAATATATAAATATTTCACAGAACTTTAACAAACCCAAATTTTCTGGCAAAATCAGTATTTTTTTGATCCAATATAAGTTACGAGATTGCTTCTGACTATGCAAGCAAATAAGTTTTCTGAAGAGTGCCTTTCACAAAAGGGAACTAAGATGACATTCGCACCAAAGTAAGGAGAGTCAGCAATATTATTGACTACTGACTATTCATCAAACTACCTTAATAGAATAGATTGTTAAACTCCCATGCTCTGCTACGTTTTGTGGTTTATGATTAGTGTAACATGGTACCCATAAGTAGGCCGAGCATCTTTATACATCAAGGTATACGTTTTTAATATTACTTTTCTCTCAAAAACATTTCTCCAGTAAATATATGCATTTTCTCTCCTCACATCTTCTTTACTTATTTTCCACAAGAAATTCAGCCACTGCTCTGTGCCTTTTTCTCAGTGCTCTGGCTTTGGGAAAGTGAGAATGTCTGCTTTTATGTACATACAGCTGCTGTCTCTGTGGATCAGAGTCCTGCATCCCACTCACCAACATGACGGAAAGTTGGCCAAGGCGCGGAGACTTTCTTTGACAGAGACCATTTGTGACTGAAATGGTCTGTGTTACAGCTACTGTGCTGAGCACACTGCCTTCTAAGCTGATGCACACAGTGTTCTGTTACTCCTTGCATTTCTCCAGCTGCAGTGTCTTGTCTTAAACAGCTTTCAGCCAAGTCTGAAGCAGGGGCATTGTTTTGTTGTTGCTGTTTTTCTATGGTTGAATAATGCCAAGTATGATGGTGCTGTGACCTTGGGCTGGAGCATCTCATTGCAAACAGTACTGTCTGCTGGCCTTGCTCCACAGTGGGATTTGGCTTTTACTGTATCGACAGAAGGGGAACTATCTTTTATTCCAACACCTAAACAGACTGTGGAAGCCAAGACATGGACACCAGGAACTAGTGTCTTCACACACATCAAATGGAGTTTGTGGAGCAGATTTGTTCTTCCCCATCTCCCCACCTCCTTTACTGTTTCTTAAAAGATAATTCACTGCTCATTGCTAACTCTGAATCATCATAAAAGTCAAGGATAAGTTTACTTCATTTTTTGCAGGAGGATGAGAGACTGTATTGCTTGTGCTCCAAGCCACCTCGATAAAACACAGTTCCAAGTCAGAAACCATAAACAGGATGCAACTGAGAGTTCATATTAATAAGATTTGCTGAGAATACAGCAGCTCAGTGACTGTGCACTGACACAGGTACATGGTCAGTTTGCAAGCATGTTACAGCTCATGTGTGAGCTGTAAAAGCTTTCAATTAGTCTGTCTCTGGGATGCTGATTGCTAATTCTTCCAGGGGCAGGACTGGTTACAAGAGGGATCTGGGTTCAACTTGAGTCACAGATGGTTTGGGGCAGAAGGGCATATAGTGCTGGTAGTGTGAAGGCTCAGCTACTCACTGTTGCTGTGGATATTTTGTGTGGGTCTGGTTGCCTTTTGTCTTAGACGTCATTTCAAGTTCATGCCAAAGGTAGGCTTTGTATCACACAACATTAGTTGTCTCCAAGTCTGGTGTCAAATTTAGGCTCTTGAGGTAGTTGCTTCCTTTTTCCAGCTAGGGAAAAAGAGCCACCCTCCTGAGATGCCTGTCCGCCTTTGCAGACTATGGATACTGGAAATGTAGAAGGTGAGATGGATCTGTTTCTGAGGATGCCCAGACCAGGCAGAGAATCTGTCTCCCCTCCAATGAAGGTCTTCTGTGATTAAGATACTTCCAGGAATCCCTTTTTGTGTGTGTTTTCAGTTGGGTCTTTCTTTATACACATACAAGAGACATTTACATTATCAGAAAACACTGTCACTGACATTTTTGTTTCCAAATTGCAGCAAAGAGCTCTATTATTATCAAGCTACAGGCAGACCCATCAAACTTGTTCTGATTTTTCTATTAATGTTTCAGGGAAAATGTAAAGACTGCCTCCACAACTTGCCTTTATTAAATCAGTTCCTAAGTGTTTAGCTGGTATTAGTGTAATATGATTTTCTTGTAGTTTTAAAAACACAGAAGAAAATACAAAACATTTACCTTTTTTGCACTTTGAGAATAAATGTACTAGCTTTTACATAGTATGTTAGGAGAATGCCAATCAACTTTGCAATACCATTTTAATTGACAGAGCAGCTCAATAAAAAATAAACCGCAAAACCACAAGGTCACAGTGGTACATCTAATTTTCTCTGCCCTCCATTTCTTTTCCCTATTACATCAACCTATCTGTCTGGTTTAGGCTTGTCTTCTAGACCCATCCATGAAGGATCTATCTCTCCTCAAAGATCATTTACTGGACACTGCTGTAAAGCAACAATGTGCCGTTACGCTTCTGCTGCATAAAGCTACTGGGACAATCGTGGGCCAGGGGAAGAAAAAAAAAAGAAATCTAGAGGAAGCATAGCTTGTTATTCTTGGTCCTCACTTGTTATGATTTGGACCCACTGTATGAGAGCCAATGGAAAAAACCCTGAACTAGAAATTCTCACAGAGTTAAAATACATCTAAGTAGTATTTCACAGTGGAGTAAGTGTAAAGTGCTTTGAGAGCCTTTAAGATGAGAGACTGATTGTTAGATACCGTAGCTCGTGTTGCTGCATAGTAGGCTATCTAAAACTTACCTCTGTCTGAACCATGTGAACACGGTGAAGCCTTAGATCATGTACTGCTGCATAAATGTCGACAGTGTCCTTTGAATCCAGCTGTTGCAGAATTCGGTCTAGTGCAATGAATGTGCCAGTCCTGCCAACGCCAGCACTGGAAAAGAAAACAACCCAAAAGACTGAAAAGCAGATGGATAAAAGCATTCAATATATTCAAATGATATTTTTGTAAAGTTCAGATCTCCAGGGGGAGAAGCAAATTGTTCAAATGGCACCTCTGAGACTTTATAACACTTTATAGTGGAATTTACTTAGGAAGGAGGAAGGGATAGTGATGGTAGAGGTACCTCTCCTACTGCCTGCACTGCTTTCTGCTTTGGATTAACTCAGTCATTGAGATACACTGAAAGACTGCATCGGACTCTTGTCAGAGTTTTTAAACCTCTTCTCTTCAGGAATACAGCTGTGGTCTTGTTTTCTAAAAGATCTGTAGGCCGTTGCCTTGTGGAAGGGCAAAGTAAGGAAAAGTATCAGTTCCCAGTAGCTGAACTGCCGGGCGGTGGGGTCTGGAGGCAGGAGGTTGGAAAAAGAAAAGCTGACTTGCTGATAATAGTAGAAATCAGACATGCTGCAGCACATGCTGTACAGGTGGGGTCATGTAAGATACATCCCTCAGCCCATATAATGTGTGGAGGGGTCAGATACTACAATCAGGTGGTACCAGTGAACATATGGCTTTATCAGAAGATACAGCACTGCACTGCACTCACTCTCTCTCTCTCTGTGTAACCCTATAGTCTGCTGCAACTGGCCAGTGGATTACAGATCAGGCAGTCCAGTTTTGTCTTTTTCGTATACATGTGTAGGAGTGGACTACAGATCAGAGGAAAAACTGCAGCCCTATGACTGCCAGAGATGACAAAAGAGCAGAACAGCATGAAAAGGCAGTAAAGAGAGGGAGTCTCAGTCAGAATGGGGGAAAGGATAGACCTGTCAGCTGATCTCAACATCCATATGTAGTCAGATTCACCCCAGGCATATCTTACCTTTTTAGAGCACCCGTTAGTGATTCAAATGTTGGACCAAAAGAGCAGCACATGGGCAATTTAAGAATGCAAAAGCTTATGAGCAGTGGCAGCTACTGGCACCTGTAGTTCTCTCCAGTGGTCCCACAGAGACATGGTGGTTCCCTAAGAATCATTTTCAAGGCTTCTCCAAGGTAAGGCTGTGGGTTAGTGCATGTGCCTTGGGACGACTGCTCTGATGTATCTGGACACTTAAGCTCATCAGTTATTTCTCAGGTTCTGTGGCTGCCCAAGGTCTAACATTTGGGAACTTCCCAAGGGTACGCACAAGAGCTCTGTGCCACTGACCTTTTGCTGCTGCACATACCTGCAGTGTACAATAGTTGGTCCTGTGTCTGGGGTCCTGTTGATATAATCTCTTACAGTTCTGACAAACTGAATCAGGGACTGGGTGGTCTCTGGCACACCATGATCTGGCCATACAGTGTAGTGGAAGTGACGAATGAGCTTTGTTGAGTCAAGTTGCTCTTCCTGTTGGGATTCAAAAGTGTGGGTCATCAGGACCAGAGAGGAAGGGACATATACAACATGCACCTTCAGAACAAATGCTATAGTTGCCACCAGAGGTGAGTTGGGTGTGATGCAACTGTGTTACAGCAGAAGAAATTTATCCTGCCTAATTTAGCCTTGCAGGTGTTTTAAGCCAATTCATTAGGAAAAAAAAATATGCAAACATACACTGCAGATTTTAAACTCTCTTATCGTCCATTCTGGGAGCACTGATTCAGACAACATCTCAACGATCAGGTCTCCATAGTACAAGGAATCCTGATCGAGGGGCCAGTAGTGATCACACTTTACCTGCAGGGACACAGACAAAGACAGACTTAGTGTTAGAAACAGTTGTAAACAATGCCTCTGTTCAGCACTGGCAGAAGCAGACTTCAGACCTCCCATGTCTGAGGAGGAAGGAACAAAGGCAGCAGCTGAATTCAGAGAGAGATGCCACTCCTTGCCATGCCAACAAACAGTGCCTGGGATGGGAATGGACTAGCGTGGGAAGTGGAAGTTCTCAAAGTTGATGTTTGTGATGAGGGGAATGGGAAGCACTTCACTGATGCCCTCTTGGGTGGCACATTTTCCACATCAAGTCTTCTCAGACCTCTGCTTGGATGAGAGGTCAATTCCAGTGCCTGCTTCCTCACCTCTTGCTGAGATATGACTGTAGGGTGCCACTTGGAGCCAGTGAGGTGCACAAGGACACAGGTCCTAGTCTGCATTGGCTTTCACCCTCTCCTCAGGAAAAAATGGTAAACTGAAAGAAACTGACCCCTATGTGCCACCAGGTGATTGTTACTTCTTTGTTTAATCTTCTTATAGACCTGTTCCCTGTCTTACAAAGGAGGCAGAACGTGGTCATACCTAGGGAGGTATGCTCCACTTGCACTCAGTAAGAGTGTGAAGTGCATGAATGGTCTCTTTGCTAGCTACATCAGGCCTTATATACAGAGATAATCTGATCTATTTATTGATCAACACTTGCTCTCCAGAGCTTATATCTAAGTTGATCAGAGCTGATGTGATCAACAAGCATTTTTTGTTGTTGGTTGTTCTGCATGCTTAAAGGAATTGTATTAGTGCTAGAGGACAAAGTCCTGGATTAGAGACCAGTAGCAATGAGCTCTGTTCCTAACTCTTAACTTTGACATGCTGCATGATCTTGGGATATTCCCTGCATCCTCACTTCACAGCCTTAATCTCTCTCCAGTCTTTATACCTCTTATCTCTTACTGTATATCTCCTTAACTGGGCCCTTTTTGGCATTAGTGTGATGCAAACACCAAGTAAAAACTTTTAATAGATATTAGAACAGTAACTAATAATAAAGAAGAGTCACTGCTCACCCGGCCCTTCTCAACACACTGGGTTACCATGACAATATTGTGAACATTTTGCTCCCATGCCATCTTCCAGAACTCATCTTTCGTGCCAGGCAAAGGGCCCTGAGTTGCTATGTATTCCCTGCGGAAATTATTGCCCTGCAAATAAAGAGAACTCCATTAGTTTGCAAAAAGGCAGAAAAAAATATCTTCTAGCAACTGAACAAGACATGGGGTTGCAGCTAGAGCTCTGCAGGAACAATGCTCTTGCTGGGACAATAGTTTTGAGAACTAAATTTTTGCCTTGAACCTGGAAGCAAATGATTGGTTGGAACAGAGAGAAGGAGGAGACTGTAGCAGTATATCTAAATACTGTTCCTTTTGCGGCAGACAAAGCTTTTTATTTTTCAACTATGCATAGCACAGTCTCAAGCAATTTTGAAACTGCAAGGAGCTTTTGCTTTATTGTTTTTAATAAATTAGCTGAGTTCTGGCTTGAAATCTGGATTGCTAAAGCCACTGCTATTATCAATCACAACTCTTCGTCAAAGGGCGTTATTTTAATTCCAGCCAGTTTCACCACCCTGCAAGGTGCCAATGCTGTCAGGATGAGCTATAGCTCCACAGTGAGGACACCACCTGCAGTGATAGCCACAGCTGACACCATATAAAAGCAGCAACCTTTAAAAATGTGTCCTTGGTCAATTAGACTTGCTATCCTACATAACTAGAGCAATCCAAGAAAGTGCCCTTAAGTGCTGGGTAAATCACTCACACTTAATTTAATGGCAGTCAGACACAGTCTTTCAGCACACCCACAAAATAAGTTTTAAGATTTTTAGCTCAAGTGAGTCAATGAAGGGGGAGAGCAGCCCTAACTATCAAGCTTTATATTCAGTTTTAGATGGAGGACAAATTACCACTGGAGGGAGGACTGTAAAACACCACCCTTGAGTCACTTACTGGTATGTAGCTTGCATTAATGTAGTCTGAGCAAGGGTCATCATCCACATTGGAAAGCTTCACTCTTGATGTATCATCTAGGAAGAAATCCATAACAAGTGGCTTAGGGCTAGGTCTTGATTTTCAGTCCTTCTCTCACTTAAAAAATGCATTTCTGAAAGGACTGGCAGCAGTCTTACAAGATTTTATATGAATAGCTAATTTAAAGGGAATAACTGTTTATGTTTTTACTGCCTCTTTCATTCACTCCAATGCCGTGGAATGTTCTAAAGACTAGGAGATGGTTGGTAAGAAGGAAGCGGTAAATATCCCAAATTTCCTCTGTTGAGCTGCACAGGATTTGTTATGACAACAAAAGGGCCACAATAGCATCCTCCTTTGATCCTAACACCAGTGTGCTGTACTGAAAAGCAGTGCCCAGCTCTGTCCTTGAAAGAACAGCTGGGCTTTAGTGGTCTTCCGAGCTAACATGTGGAGTAGGTCAAACATCCTCCCTAGGTAAACCGCCTTCTGTACAGAAACAGAAAGTGTCTAAGCCACTGGGTCACTGATTCATGAGATAATGCCACCTTGGATCTCAGTCAGGCGTCATTTCTTGTACAGTGCAGGCGTGCTGCCCAGCCTGGCAAGGTAGGCAGAACAGGGGATGCTATGAGGCTGTGCTGCAAGCACATACCACATCCATTAGTGGGGATGTGGAGCAATGAGTCATGTGGTGTTCTTCCTCAATGTTTTACCTCCAAAAGTGCCATGTAGGAGATAAAAGGGGGAAACTCTCAATGACAGACAGGTCTAGGTCTTGCCTTGGGAGAAGAGGATTAACTTCACACACGTGTCTTACCATGCAGAATCACACTAGCTCTACACTGTACAGGAGGTTTGCTACGTACTCTGAAGAACAAAGATTTGGCAAGGCTGTCAAAGAGCACTGAATGGATGATACTCCATATGTAAACAACCCTACTGTTATTTCTATTATCCCTGTTACCAGCAGTGACTGAATGTCCCTAATAGCTGGAGCTTTTTCTCCCTGGATTGAATGCTAGTCATTAGACCTCCAGTGTGAAACTAAATTACTGGTCTGTGTGAAGCCAGACCCCTCCAAGCACCAGAACCTGAGCTGGCAGAGATATTTCATCTCTGACAGAAAGGAGAGAAGGGATTGGTTGCACTCTCTTTTCCACTAGACTTGCTGAAACAAAGTGAAAAATAGCTGGTGTGATGCAATATTACACAACCAAACCTAAAACTCACAGGGTAATATATTATTGTATCGATTTTTCCCTCTGTTCTCTGGCAGAAGTGCTATGTCACACGTCTGGTTTCGACCCACATCTTTCAAGTCCTGAAAAAAAAGAAAAAGAATAAAATGCGAGGTGAAAATAATTCAAGGACGTGACAACACAGTGCTTATCAGCTCTCAAAGGCCATGACAGAGAGTGGTTGTTTTTTTTAAAAACAAACAAATTACATAGGTAATCATATTGTTTTAAACCAAGTACATGACTGGTAGGTAATTTCCATGCTTTATCACACATACGTTGCCATACAAATCTGATCTCAGCCAGATAGGTATCAGGCAGAGGCTGCCAACAAGAAGATGCTATGCCAAATGAAGAGCTGGTTTCTGCACTTGGACAGGTGGAGTTCAGCTGAAACACTCCAACTTATCTGGATTTGTGTGAATAAGACAAATGCAGACCTTCCTAATGCATTAACCTGTTGATTCAGTCAGCCCACCCCTTCATAAAGCAAGTCCTTTGCCTAGGTTAGGATCGCACCTCATACTCCTTGGACAGAAGGTAGTTGGAGTCTGCTTGAAGTTTGGTGAAGTGTGCTTCAAAGTGACTGACTTTGATTGGACTAAAATATTCAACAGGAGGAAGAGAATCACAGTCATAATTTATCCAGTTGGTTACCAAGAAGCTTTTTTAGGTATTATTTTTTTCTTTTTACCTGGAAGTTTTCCGGTTCCTAGAAATGATTTCAAAAGAAAAAGAAACACTTCATCAGTGAGTGACCAGATAGATCTGTTCAACCATGATGCCATGTTAAAAAAAAAAATAAATCTGACTTTACCCTTTTTGCCCCAGGTTCAGATGGACTGGCAGTGGCCTGTCCCTGCGAATGCTCAGCCTTGCTGTAGATCTCTCATGGCCACTGCTGGAATAAAAAGGAAGGTATTCTGTTGTATCTGTTCTGATACTGATAAGAGTTGGTAATAACATAACTTACACTGGAAAACAGTAAATTGGAAAAAAAGGAATTTAAAAAAGTATGTTTTGATTCACGGCTCTGATTGTGTGACAGTGCTCTTAACTGGGGCACAGAGTTTTCTTGTATTTTAGCTTGGCAATAGTGATGTGGAGTGTATGTATGGCACAGGCAGTAAGACTATTTACTTGTTCTGAAACACTCACAGCCCAGTCTATCATTAAGGAGGGTGTCCTTTGCTAAGATGGGCTCTAAATCAGTTGATCCTCTACAGGCAGAGAGGAACATATAGGGAGATTTTCAGAGCTGTAAAAGGTCTACAGCTTCCACCACATGTACTCTGCAGACCAGGCCAGCAGATGCCCAGGTTCATAGCAGGAGTAAGTGGCAGAACCACAGCAGGCTTTGGGAAAGCCATTGAAGTGGTACTTACTCCATACAGTCAGTGATGCCTTTCATCCTTTTGCTGCCATCTCCTCAAGACTCCTCCCTTAGAAAACACTTTCTCCTTATGTATGATGTGGGAAAACCATACCGGTGTAATTGCCACCCTGCTGGCTATATAACTTACAACAAGAAACCACATTCTATATGAAGTTTATCCATTTTGGCTAAAAGCTATGACTAGTCAGAAAACAGTTTTCTTTCAATCTGAAATTCTAGCACATGAAAAGCAAATTCAAAAAATACAGACTTAATTTAGTATCAGTAAAAGAACTGAATTTTAGATTTTCAGTGTTTCCCTTGTAATGGAAATGTTGAGGGCTTTTTTAAATTTCAGAAACCATATGGAATTTCACATCTCTCAGTCATGCAAAATGATTTAAATGGATAAAGCCTTTTTCAAAGTTGAGATAGAGTATTTTACTTTTTAAAAACATATTTTAAAATATGAACTATTTAAAGTTCACTATTTAAGATTCACCTATAATGTAAAATACACAACTATAATTGACAAAAAATGAGAAGTTTAAACTAATCTTTTGGACACTGAGGAAATGCCATACTCAATATTTTTGAATTGATAATATCTAAATGAACAGTTTCAATAGCTTTCCATCTACAGTGTAGATGCAATTAATTGGAAACATTTCATTTTTTTGACAAAACAGTCTGAATGATAAACCAATTTTTCAGATATATTCAGACTTCTAATGAAAACTAAGTTACAAGAATCGTCTATGACAATTATGGCATCATTTGAATCAAAAATTTATAGATTTCTTAATATGTAAGTTCTACACTTAGTGTGCAGAAGATGTTGGGGGACACAGATTTTGTCTGTTGAATAGTTCTGCGCATTCTTCCAATTTTACAGTTACATTTTATATATTGTATTACTTAAATAAATATAAATTGACATTACTTCAGTAACAGAGACTGACAAAGGGAGTCAACTTACCCAACTTTCTGTCTGCAGACAAATAAAGCAGTAACAGCCACCAACATCACAATCAGAAACAAGCCAGCACTCACACCTTCAATAACTCCGAACAGAGGCTCTGGAAACAAAACAGTGTACTTATATATTTTGAGGAAAAGATCAGAAGACTTGGAGAATCGATAACTCTCAAGGGATCTGTTATTATCAGCTAAAGAAAATGGCTAAATAGAAGGAAGTGTAAGGCACTTAAACACTTAGCTAAAACCTGGCCTTGATTTTCTGTCCTTATTTTTTCCAAACATTACGCAAAATTTTTCACTCCCAAACACATCAAAAGAAAGCACAACCCCATTATATGGGAGTTTGATTCTTTTGCACTTTGAAGCTTTCTTGGTGATAGTTCACTGAGCATTCATCCTCTTCTCTACTGTCAGCAGCTCTGCAAGCAGTCCTCTGAATTTTCAACAGAAGCCAGATAAACCATGGTTCCAGCCTCATCTCAGAGCGGCCTTCAGGACATGCACAGCAATCCGTTTTTGTTCCACTCCTTACAAATAGTTCTAGATACCAGAGTGTTCTTAGGCGCAATATATAATTGCATGGTACAGTCACTGATAACAAGCCTGAAACTAACCTGCCTCTGTAGTGATGGGCAAAGAGAAGAAGGTGTCTGCAAAGAGTGGTTTAGGAAGTTCCTTCGGGTCTTCACTGAAAAGCTGGGTAAAAGCTCGTATGCTGATCCTAAAAAAGCAGAATTGTTACACTTATGGCTCATTAGACGTTCAGAACCAACAGGAGACAAGTAAGAACTTATTTGCCCCTTAGAGATAATTAAAACCTTTCCACCCCCACAGACAATTCTTAAAACAGGCACCTGAGTTAAATACTAATTAATCAGTATTCTACTTAATTAATCCTACTGATCTCCGAGATAAATATTGGGGAACCCAGCTACTACAGGTGGAGGGCTCTGAGGTACCCTGGTAGAGGTAACATATGGGCTCTGGCAGCTGGCACACAGCCTGCCTATGCCTGAAGGCAGGCCTAGCAGAAGCCGCATAGGGGAGACGACTCAGAAATGCTTCTTGGTGGGGACACATTTTCCCTTCACTTGGTTGGGTATGGCTATGCTAATGGAGATTTGCTATAGTCCTCTTGGTTCTCCGTGTAATGTGGGTATTTCCCAGACTGAATTTTTGGGAAATGTGCCCTAATGAGAGCAGACTATAGTGGGGTAGCATTGTCTTGATGATGAAGCAGCTAAGACGCATGATGTACACTCCTTGGCACGCGCCTTTTATCCATGTGTCTTTTCAGTGAGAATACTGCAGACCTCTTGGGAGAGTATTTGCCTCTCTCAAGTGGTAGGGGCATGGCTGAGCCCCACTGGAGCTCATGTTTGGTCTCGCAGCCTGCGTAACTGCTGAGCCTGGTCTTGGCAGTCACCCTCTTCTACACCCTACACTAACCTGGGCCTACCTCTGGAGCCTAGGGATGGTGCCACAGGATAGAATAACCTCCAGGTTTTTCTAGCTTGTTCCAAACGACTGATGTGGGGCAGTGCTGGTGTACAGACTGAGTGAAGCGTGTTTGCCTTCTCCTGTTAAGTACTATTCTGACTTAGCAGACGGTATTAAGTCTTTCCAAAGAAATATTTAGCAGCTATAGGAGAGCTTCCCATCAAGTTGAGTTACATAAATAAACCTATTCACTGCACAGAGTTTTGTGCATAATTAATCATATAATATCCAAACTAGCGAAGGACTGGTTGTTACCTATGGAACGGGGGCATGGAGAAAGCTTTTATAAATTTACATTGAAACACAAAGAACATTACTAATCTCCAGAAGCTCAAATGGATCAGGCATACAGACAGTACCATGCCTAATAATGTGACAAGAGCACAGCTACCAACATAAATCTAACCTATAAGCAGTTTGAGGCTTTAGAGGTCCATCACAGAATTTGTGGTGATCTGGATCACACTTTCCTCCCAGATTTTCCATTTCTCCTCCAAGCTTAATGTCAAAGCTTTTATAGTCGCTGTCCGGATTTTCAGCACATCTACTGGCAAAATAATTTGTCTGGTAGATGCGTATAGAGTCGTTGTGTTTGTACTCCAGGTAGGAAGGTAATGGGTGCTGCTCATCAGGCTTTGGTCCTTCACTACCTGCGTCATGTGCAGAGAAAGACAGAAGGTTCAGATGCCACAGCCATTAATGTGATGCAGTTTCTAGGCTCAACCTCTCGACAGACATTCTTATCCAATTTTCTGTTTCTTGGAGGCTACCTCATGAATACAAAGCTACAGTGGTTAGGGTACTTTGTTTCTAGTACCAACCTGTCTATTATTTCTTTAGGTAGATTTCCTTGCAAGACTTCAGTGTAACTTTCCCAGATACAATGCTGATATAGGCATGCATAGGTCGAATTCAATGCTATGACATTTTTTCCTGTGCTGCTGGTGGGAGTTTCTGTGATTCAGATTCCTGGATCCTACTACTAGCTATTTCAAAAAGCAAGTAAAAAAAATCCACACACAGTCAAGTCTACTCTATATAGTGAAAAACAACAATAGGAAATGACAGGGGTTCCCTGAACGTAAATTCACAATAATGGTTAAAGGACTCAGGTAGGCAAAGCCATGGCAATGAGCAGTCCCTTTCCCAAAGACCTTTATGGCAAGCATGGCAGAGCAGAGAGTGGAAATATTATCTCTGCTTTTTTTTCTAAGGGCTGATGGACAGAGAGATTAAGGAACTTTCATAAGGGTCACAAAATATGTCCTGGCATGCCAGTAAATGAAGCCACTTCTAAAAACAAGGTATTAATTGTTGAAACATACATCTCATTTCTCTCATATAGGTCAATTGTAGAAAGGGAGGTTTACATGCATGCCACAAGGACAATTTCTGTTCTGTTTTACAGTGCTGCATGCAAAGTAATTTTCTTCAGTAAGCAAACTTGGCAGACCTTTGACTTCTCAGCATGGCTTACTAAGACTCTCCAGAAGAGTTGCCTTAGTGTTTCCGCTTAGCATTTAAACTACCTTTTGAGATCTGTTCACAGCAAGGAAGTTTCTTCTGTGTCCACTGCCAATGGCATCCAACATAAGTCTCCTACTATGGAAACTGTCTGAGCATACATGAGAATGCAACCTCGAGTATAGAAGCCAACTACTCCTTCTGTCTGAGCTCTGCAGTTGATACTCACTCTCTGAGGATAGGACTGAGTTCCTACATCCCCAGGCTAGGGAAGAAGTATAGATCCAAAACCTGTATGATACTCAGCACTAGGCAAGGAGAAAACCCTTTGCTGTGTGGTGATAGGGATGTACCTCCCCATGCAACTCCTATAGGCTGTAGAGAGAATAGTATTAAACCACGACACTTACCATCAGCCTCTCTCACAACCACAGTAAAGTACTTCACAGCTCCATTAGTATCACTAAACCAGCTGCAGTTAAAAGTAAAGTTGATGGAGGATTTGGTAATCAGCACCTCTCTTTTGTTCACTCGTATGTCTGGAGGTGGCTGAGGGGGACCTGAGTAATTGAAATAAATAATAAATAAATAAAAAATAGAGAGAAAGCATTATCTATGTACTTGCTGTGAGCTAGATCTAGTAAGGGAAATGCAATTTGTAATAAATCTCAGCTGCCTGGACCCAAGTCTCTGATTCTATTCTCTTTGCAAACAAGGAAGTGCCTTCACCTCCCACAGGGAAAATGCCAAAAGATGAAACAAGCCAGCAGTGAGTTCACCATAATAACAGTGACAGATCCTCAGTGGGAATTCCTGCAGAAGCACACACGGAAACGTATTAAAACCTTGTTAAGTCTATGAAATCAGAAATTGTAGCTACTGAAAATGACACAGGTTTAAGACAGGCATTTGGAGGCCACTTAGCACACTCATTACAGGAATTTACCTATTTTAAGCATCTATACTCCTGCTTCCTTTTCCAGAGGAACAGAGTCAGCCAGACACAGCATTCAACTACAGAGTACCATCTTCCAGACTGACTGCAGAATTTCCATGGGAAATATTCTTTGTATGACACAAAGGTATACCTTGAACAGTGACACAGCAGAAGTACTTCACTGAAAAGCGAAGTACGTAGGGAAGAAAGTGCAGCAAAAGTGGGGAATTTAAGGATCTACACTGCTGAGTCTTTTAACAATCTATATTACTGAAACTATATTGCACCCATGGGAAACATCAAATACGTAAAAAGGTGGCTAAATTTCAAAAGAACCAATAATTCACGTATTTATATGTACTTTAGCTAAACCTCTTAGTTTAGCTAAACCTCTACAAAGCCTAGCTGCAATTTTTTGTATTCCCTTGAGTAGGGTCTCCAGTGTTAACCAGGGTCTGGGAGAGCAGCAGTGTTCAAAACAAGTAAGTGACAACAAACACAGGTGAAGCACAAAACAATAACAAACGTGAAAGAGCTAACCTTCCAATAGGACTCAGTCTCACTTCTTGTGAGATGAATAGCTAGTTCTTACTACATCTGGATTTGCAGCATTCTTTGTGGTAGAGGAAGGAGATGACAAGGTTGCAATTAAAAGGCAAGTGATGGCGGAATGGAGGTGAGTTGGTGACTGAACTCTGTAGCTTAGTTCAATAGCTCCCAAAGCAAACATTACTTTTATGATCTAGCATTTCAAAAAAATGTGGCTTTTAATAAGTAGTTATAGAGGCATCCCTGAATATAGGCTTCCTGGCCATCCTGTAATTTTTGAGAAGTTTAGCCCTGGAACGGTTCAAGCCTTTGCACTGAATGTGCCATTGAATTCTGAGGTGCTGCAAAAACTGGAGCAGCTCTAGGTCAGTGATGGCAGGCTGTTGATTGCAGTGATGCCTGGTAGTTCAGAGGCACCAGCAGATGCTACCGCTACCCTCCACTCAGGAGCCTACAGGTGGAGAAACTGAAGAAACTGGTTCAAAACATATGCTATGGATATCTGTGATCCTCCCTCAGCTAAAATTCCTGCAGGTGATTTGGTCAGGTAGTGCCTCAGAAGAGCGTGCAGAAACCCAAAGAGAACACAGTACCACAATCCAGTGTGCTTACTGATGCATATTTGTGCTGAGGATGGTTTCCATTCTCCAATCCGTGAGAGGAAATGGTAGACACAGGAAGCCAAGCAACAACCATGAAGACAATTGAAGGCATGTGACGATGAGGACAGGGATAACTGTTTATGTTTCTCAGGCTATATTTCATGAATGAGCCAAATAATTGGGTCTGGCAATGTAATGAGAGGCAATATAGCCAAAATCCTGCAGTGTCTGTCACAGCAGGGACCAAAGGACAGGTTCAGTCTACTTCAGCCACAAGATTATAAGTGCCACACATTGGCAATTGTGGAGTTCAGAACTCCTTTTGCTGTCTAACCAACACAAGCAACTGCTTATTGCTGCTCACTGTCTCTCTTCAGGGCAACCCAGAATTCCACTTACGATCAATCATTGTGATGGTGCTGTCTTCAACTACTTCACTCGTCATGTCTGCAGAATGCACCTTGATGGACACCAGGTATCGTCTATGGGGAACGAGGGTCATGATATTAAGTAGAGATTTGTCTTTTTCTATCCTTTTAGAAAATTCCACTTCACGAGTGTCCATTTTTTTGCATTCAATGCTATACCCATCAAAGTCAGAATCAGGAGGAGTCCAGGAACACGCGATGGCAGTAGAGGTTTGGGGCCGACAGTGAAGACTTTGTATCTTGTCTGGTTCTAGAGAAACGTTGAGAAGTTTAAGCTCAGTGAGAAAAGGGACAGGCATCGTACATTCTCTGCTCACATTATAGAATCATAGAATCATAGAATAGATTGGGTTGGAAAAGACCTCCAAGATCATCAAGTCCAACCCCTGATCCAACTCCAATTACTATATCATGGCACTAAGGGCCACGTCCAATCTCTTTTTAAAAACCTCCAGGGATGGTGAATCCACCACCTCTCTGGGTAGGCCGTTCCAATGCCTGATAACCCTCTCTGTAAAGAATTTCTTCCTAACATCTAACCTAAACCTCCCCTGGCAGAGCTTGAGCCCATGTCCCCTTGTCCTATTGTTGGTTGCCTGGGAGAAGAGACCAACCCCCACCTGGCTATAACCTCCCTTCAGGTAGTTGAAGAGAGTGATGAGGTCGCCTCTAAGCCTTCTCTTCTCCAGACTGAACAACCCCAGCTCTCTCAGCCTCTCCTCATAGGACTTGTGCTCCAGTCCCTTCACCAGCCTCGTTGCTCTTCTTTGGACCTGCTCCAGCACCTCAATATCCTTCCTGAACTGAGGGGCCCAGAGCTGAACACAATACTCCAGGTGTGGCCTCACCAATGCAGAGTACAGGGGAAGGATCACTTCCCTGCTCCTGCTGGCCACACTGTTCTTGATGCAGGCCAGGATGCCATTGGCCTTCTTGGCCACCTGAGCACACTGCTGGCTCATGTTCAGCCTCCTGTCGATCAGCACCCCCAGGTCCCTTTCCGCCTGGCTGCTCTCCAGCCACTCTGTGCCCAGCCTATAGCGCTGCAGGGGGTTGTTGTGGCCAAAGTGCAGGACCCGGCACTTGGCCTTGTTGAACTTCATTCCATTGGAGTCAGCCCATCTCTCCAGTCTATCCAGATCCCTCTGCAGAGCCCTCCTGCCTTCCGGCAGGTCGACACTCCCTCCCAATTTGGTGTCATCAGCAAATTTGCTGATGATGGACTCAATCCCCTCATCTAAATCATCGATAAAGATGTTAAAAAGGACTGGGCCCAGCACTGACCACTGGGGAACACCACTGGTGACCGGTCGCCAATTGGATGCAGCTCCATTCACCAGCACTCTCTGGGCCCGGCCCTTGAGCCAGTTCCTGACCCAGCACAGAGTGCCCCTGTCCAAGCCTTGGGCTGCCAGCTTTTCCAGGAGTATGCTATGGGAGACAGTGTCAAAGGCTTTGCTGAAGTCCAGATAGACCATTACAGCTCCTAGATTCTGCATTAACCATTAGATAAGAGCAGGAGGCTGGGAGTCAGAATTCCCATCTCTCCTGCAAATGTGGGTTGTCTGATTACTATGCAAGGCCCTCTAACTCATTTTAGCCATCTGAAATCAGATCTAGTGACATCGGCCCCATTAGGTTTGTGAAGCTTCAGTAATTAACCGTGAAAACAAGCCAAGAAAACCTACTCACTGAAGTCTTAACAAGAATAGCAACACTGTAAAACAATGGATTTCTAGAACGCTGTTACAACTTATTTGGAGGTTACATGTGGTCATCAGTACCAGTCAGTATCGATACTGTCATCTCATGACTGATCTGGTTTCCTGGGTAGAATGCAGTGTGTCCATATTACTAAAACATACCACAGACGTATGCTTCATCCATGTAATATGGGAGCACCATTTATAACATGCGACATATAACAAAAACAGGATATCACTTTCAGATGGCAGACATTACATTTAAGTGATTAAATACAGGTGAAATTTTAATTAATATGCTGAATTAAATCTACAGAGCTATACAGCTTACTAAACACAGATATCAGTTGAGAGCTGAATCCCACCCCAAATGACACGAGGATTTGTCAAGGTTCAGTTATTTTTACAATTCTAGGTCACTTTTTCAAATCAGCCTGTTACTGAGGTTGCTAGAGGTAATACAGATCCACAGACACAGACAGAAATGCAGAGTAGCGAAATACTGATTCCAGCTTCAAATCTAGTACGGCACAGTTTCATTCATCCTTCCTGTCTTATCATTCAGAAATATTTTATTTCAATATCCTACTGTCAAGAGAAGTTTGCATATTCAACCTTATTTTACCCCTGAAACTGATTGATTCAGGCTCTGCAACCAAACAGTCCCAATCTGGATGTGAGAATTATAAATGTATGTACATTTTCAATCTTTTAAACAGTTGACCTTGCACACAGCAAGGGCTTAGAATGTAGCTGAATTCACCACTGAATTCATGAATTAATTAACAGAGATTACTGACTATGTAACAAATTGGTAAGATTTAACAGTTTTGCATCTTCTCCAGCTGAGTGTTAGGGTGCAATGGGAATTGTTACTTACTCGTTCTCACACTTGCAGACTGTGACTGACTGTATGTCTTCCAGTTATCGCCACTGACGGTTCTGACGCTGAACTCATAGAGTCTTCCTGGTCGCAGGCCATAGATGATACGTACTTTAGATTTGCTGCTGCTGTAGGGATTGAATACTGTGAGGGGATCCTTTGGAAGCCACTGCAACTCAAAATCGTCATAGTCTGTCCAGTCTGGAGGACCCAGCCACGTGACTGATAAAGAAGTGTTTGCAACATCAGTAAACGATACAGTGTTAGGGGGGCTGGGTGCTACACAGAAAGATGGGAAAAAAGGAAAGAAGAAAAAGAGATTCTTAACAAATTTTTACACAAGACAAATAAGATGAAACATGCATTATTTTCTTCATGCAGCACAAAGTAGTCTGTGTTATCCTGTGCACACAGCCAGCTACCACACCTGTGCTGATGATGGCCACTTTCATGGACATTACATATTCCTGAGCCCTTGGAAGAAAAACAGTGATGACTGTTTTTCTTTCACTCTCTATCAGTTTAACATACTTAAGGTTATTCTTTATCTTTTCACTTTCAATGACTTATTTAATAAATCCTTCCTCAGAATAGGTCTGTTGCATAGTTGTGAACTAATATGAATTCAGAGAGATGGGACAAAAAAAGAAATCCCATACCTGTTCTTCCTTCAGCGTTTGCTGTGTTGATCAGGTCACCACTGTGAGTCACCACAACCAAAGTGTACTTTCTGCCAGGAATGAGCCCCTGGAAATGCCACTCTTTCAGGTCTTTCCTTTGCCAGGTTTCTTTCTGTGTCCCATTTGGGTTATAAAGATTCAGCTCATAGAAGTCAACATCTCCTGCTGCTGGACCCCAAGTGAACCACAGACTGTCTGTCATGTTTCGGTTGGATGCCTTGAGACCAACGACTGGGGCAGGTACTGAAAAAAACAGAAACGAGTATTTTTTTATGTAGAACATCCTTAGGGTGAGAAGAAGCAACCAGACCTTACACTTATCCTGTAACAACAGTCATGTAATAAAACTAGTAGCCACCACAGTTGGCCAAAAAGCCAGGAAGCACCAGGAAGCATCCTGGTAGCATCAGGAGCTGATTCTTAGTTTGAGCAGTCACTGTTCCCAAGAGAGGTTGAAATGTTTATAATGGACAGTTTTTCAAGTGTTAAGCATCTTTTTCCCAGTCAGTGTCTGGAAACATCCAATTCTGAGATAGTTGAAGAAAGTACAGCACTGCACAGACAGAGTCTTATGGAAGGGTTACTATACAGTGCCTCACTAGAATAAAGAAAGGTTTCACAGGGTGCTAGAGTTGCTAGAGCTGTTTAGAAAACTCTGCTTCCCACATGTGGTTGAACAAACACAGAGCTGCAGCCAGAGCTCCCACTGGGAAAAAAGTTTTATTTCACTAGTAGATTGCTTATCCCATTAACCCGACTTGGTTTGCCTTTTTGCCTTTTCCACTCATAGACCAATACTGCTTTCAGGTTGGGAGACAGCCATTTCCCCTTAAGGCTTAAGCAGCATACATTGATATGCTGCTTGAGTTCCTAGGAACTATTGTAAAGTTTTTTGCTTAATTTTTCCTGCTGTAACCATGTCATTCAGAATTTACCTTTTTATTTAGCTAATGCTTTTTAAACATAAGAGACAATTTTGATATTTCTAAAAGTTGCTTTAATCTAGTATGAGCATCAGACTCAGACCGGCTCACTGGTGTCCCCCATGAGCACAGGTGGTTTTCTTGGATGTTCTTGCCTGTTCTTCCAAAGATAGATGACTCGTTAGTGAGGTCTCCACTGTGGGTAACAATCACCATTCGATACATCCTGCCTTGACGTAGGTTCTGGAATGAACACTGCTGGAGGTGCTGCTCTCCTGAAATCCTGTCATGAAGGGATTTGTCTGGGTTGTACAGGAAGATGTCATATGAATCAAGTTCCCCTTGTGAGGTGGTCCAGCTGAAGGACAGTCGATCAGTGGTGTTCTCTGTGACTTTCAGATTTGTAACAGCTGCTGGAACTGCAAAGAAGGATAAATGTAAGAGTAAAACCAAAGAGTCTAGCCACTAAGCTGAACCTTTAGTAAAGTAACAACTCGTGGCTGGAATACATCTCAATTAAGCCACAAGTAGCTAAAAAATATCAACAGCAACTGTCAGAAACAAGAGGAAAGCATTTATGATATGCCAGTGAATCTTCTCCAATACAATACTTGTATTTTCCAGTGGGCCTGATTCTCCAGCCTGTACTCACACAGAATTGTCCATCAGTTTCAACAGGAATCTTCAAATGAGTAAAGACTGCAAGCAAGACGTGGCACTTGGCTCTGAGTTTAGAGGTGTACATTAACATCAAATCCTGCCCTAAGAGCCTCGAGATTATGATTTAAAAACTTGATGACAATAAAGCATTCAGGTAGTTTCACAACAGACCGACCGAGGGAATCATTCAGCACTTTGGTTTAACATCCTTATTATGAACCATGGTCGCATTATTATGATAACAAATTTCAGATTGACATACCAAGCACATATCAAGAAAAATGATGCATAAATATCTGGAGTTTGTTCCTTACTAGAATCTTTCCAGAATCAAGATATACAGATGATTCATGTATTTAATGATAACTGACTGAGGGAACTATAAATAAACCAAGATGTTCTAATTACCTGTTCGGCCAACAGTTTCTGCATGCTTACTGAAGAGCCCACCACTGACTGTCAAAACTTGTATTTTATACTTCTTGCCAGCTAATAAATCTTCAAATTTGTGCTGTTTGGCAGCAGCTGGCTCTGATTTGTTGCTCAGGAGGACTCCTTGTTCATTCAGGAGCAGAATGTCATATCTCTCAGCTACACCAGGAGCTTTCTGCCAGGTTACTAACAAGGAATGACTGCTGTAAGCATGATCAGCTAATAATTCCTGGACAGAGGCTGGAACTGGAAATAATTAAAGGTAGGACATTACCAGGTGAAATACAGACCATTCAATACACAAATATGAGTGAAGTAATTAATAGAACATAACTTCATACACTTTCAAGTTCACTTGTGGGAAAAGCAATATCTGCATATGTTGATCAAAACAAATAAGTCCTAGACATAAATACAATCAGACAAATGTAAAGAGCATCATGGACATCTGAACTGGGCATGGAGAAGCAAGAGATATCTATAAACTATCATGAAAAGAGGGAGAAGGAGAGTGAGATGAACTGACCAAAACAGTTAATAAAGGCATATGAGAAAAATAAAGTGGTAAATTGGTGCAAAATAGTGGCACAGAAAAGAAAATGTTAGCCAGCAGCTGTTGCACAAGGCACAGATAATTAATACATGTAGACGCTAAAGCGAGAGAATAGATTAAAAGCAAGCCGTTGCATTGTTTTATATGTTCTGACGTGCAGGATACTGGAGTAATACATTGTCTAACAAGCCCTGATCATGCAATGGGCTCTGCTAAAACACGAGAGGGTTGGCACTGCACTCATCCCATGAAGGTAGACTTTGGGCTGGGGACTTGAATTCCACGCACATTCACCCAGGTAAAGCTACTCACGTGACACATCTCACTGGTATTAACAGACCCATGCTAAGTGTTTGCAAGAGTCATGACTTTGATATAAAATCTAATATGTCACTCATGAGTCTGGGTGTCCCCATACACAATGGTACCTTCATAAACATTACTGAATAAGGATCAGTTTCTGGGAAGACATAATGCAACTTGCTCCTTATCTCAAAAGAAACGTACTTGTTCTCCCAAAAGCTGCTAAGCTGTTGTGCAAGGTGCCACTGTTCGACTGCACCACCACCCGGTACTGCTCCCCAGCTTCCAACTTGTGAAATGTGTGCTCAGAAACATGTTTGGAGACACTCTGGGAATCAAGCTGATGGTTTTGCTGAAATATGGTCACCGTATAGGAATCAACATCTCCACCTCCGGGAGTCCAGCTCACTTTCAGGCTGTTTGTCATGCCATTAGGTGACACGTGAATGTTTCTGACCACGCTTGGAACTAGAAGAAAAAGGGAACAAAAAGGCACCTGCTCACAAATTTCCTGTTTGATCCAGACTTTCTACTTTCTACCTTTTAATGGCCACAGCAAATGATTCAAAGGACAAAGATCATTTACAGGTACGAGTAATTTCAGACACTGGTAAACAAAAGTAAACTTGAAGACATTTGTGCAGGATTACACCATTTTAGAAAAGCAATTCTCTGTTTTCATAGGAGCAAAAGTAAAGAAAATACAACATAAACAAAAAAGTTTCTGCCTCCTTTTATTTGCATAACCTCCTTCTTGTCCAAATGATATTTTGAAAACATCTCAAAAAATCAAAGCTCTTCATGTACCCTTAGTTAATTAGCCATTCTGCAGTTATTATCTCACCCATTCATTTCAGGTGGGTAACAGAGGTGTAAAATAGTGATTTAATACAGATACTGAGCAAACAACTGGTGTGCACAGGAAAAACAGAAACCCAAATGCTGACATTTCAATACCATTCCCATGCAACAAATCAGATGATCTGCCAATAATCAAATATTGGTAACTGTGACATTTGTTTATTAAGCAACAGATCAATCTGTTTGTAGTACTAGTGTTATTTTCAATGAGATCTGATGTCTTTGAGCCAGTGTTACAGGAGCTCAAATAAGATCATGGTTCACCTTTGATTTTCAGTGCTTCATTCTAGAGAAGCCTCAACACATTTTAAATACCACATTATTTCTTACTTGTCAGGCCTTCTATGAAAGTAGCACGTTGTGCATCTCCACTGATGGTCAAGACAAGAATTTTGTATAGACGTCCTGGAGTCAGAGCTGTGAACCAATACTCCTCAATGGTGTTCCCAAGGAAAATGGGTGGGAAGATCTTCATATCATTGAAGAGGAGTTGAATCTCATATTTATCAACATCCCCCTCAGCCTTTGACCAAGTTACCTGCAGATCTTCTGTGCTCCTGTTACTAAGAGTCAGTTCCTTCACTGACTCTGGCACTGAAGAGGTAAGAAGACAGATAGGACATGTCTCAGTACTTACTAACAGATCACAGCAAAAAGCTAACAGCTCTGAAGCCACGCTTCCAAGCTAAAACTTTTCATTCAGTTCCCTAGGAAAAGCAGTATATTGCATTTATTTGGGTGGTTTGCACCCAATCTAACACTGGAAGGTCCCATTTCAGAACAGGAGTCCCCAATCTATCAGCATATAAATAATGAATGAATAATAATGGAGCCTGCAGGGAGTTTGCCTAGCCAACAGAAACTGAGTAAGATCTCATGTACAACAAATATGGTGCAAAGAGGCCTGAGCTAGCGCAGAGCCAATGCAATCCATCTGTGGGATGCAGCAACACAATGCGCAGTTTCCAACTCCTGCCAGACACAGGTCAGTTGTTTTTGCCCAGTGCTACATCTGTGTTAATAAACTCAGTTGTCTCAGCATGGCTCCTTAACTCACACACAGTGCTAGGTGAAGACAGGTAGATTGCCTCCAGATCCCTGCTGGCTCACAACTAGCCACCTTACTTCCTCTGCTCCATGCTCTCCAATTTCAGTTCTTGGGGTAGTTTGAGTAGACTAAGGTCTAATCTATCTTCTTCTTTATACATTTCCACGACCAGAAAAAAAAAAAACTGTCTTGTACATTCCAGCATAATTTAATTATAAATAGTAAGCTTACGTGGAAAACTGTACCACTGTTTTCCAGTTTCAATGGTTCAAGATTTGCTTTCCAAAATCACAGCACAGTACTTTTTATATGTTTGCAACTTAAAAGCTGGTCATAAACTAAATACTGCTTTCTGTATTTAGATAATACACATTCAAAGAGACACAGCAACATTCTATGTTAAAATCATATCAGATTTTTGTGCCTGGGTATAGGAAATAAAAAAAACCCCAGAGGTGTCTCAGAATGTTTCCAGGGTGTTCACTTACTTGTTCTGCCATAGACCCTTTCACTAGTTTCGTATTTCCCACTCCTTGTGCTGACCGTGACACTGTACTGCCTCCCTGGGACCAAATTAGTGAACACACATTCATTTTCATCCTTAGGGACACTTTTTGTTTGGATGAAATCGTTGTTGTTCCTGATGATCACTTCATAATTATCAAAATACCCAGATGCATGTAACCAGGACACCTTCAAGTAGTCACTTCTGGCTGAATTGCTGACAGTAAGTCCCTGAACACTTGAAGGGACTGAAAGAAAAAAACATAGTTAAAGATCCATAAAGCAATAACTTTCTGAACTAACTGGAGCTGAGGTAGTGGACTATATTTGTGGTAATTACCAGGCTTTTGTAAGGAAGTTGCAAAAAGACCACAATGTGGATTTAAGCAATAAAAGAGTAACTGCGGTTTCCAGGCTGCTTTACATCATATGACAATGGTTTGCCTTTCCAATTTTTGGTCTTAAGGAACTTGGTCAATTTTGCTTATAGTACTGACTTCCACAGGTTCACACTAATCCTGAGTTTAGTCCTCCATATTTACAGGATTTTCCCTGGATTTTCACTTACATCATGAGAAGACTAAAATTCCTTTAACTTGATACTCTTTATCATTTTAACACCCCTTACCATCTTTCTTTTATTCTACTGGTTTACCAAGTACGAAGTCTCAGTCTTTTCAATCCTTGAGAAAGTTTTGAAAAGCTTCCCATCATTATTGCCATCCTTTTCTGAGATTTCTCTATTCCTGTTATAATATTCTGGAACTCAGCATGACCAAAACCATAGACACGTGTGTTACAACACTAAAACCAATTGACATGGATGTTACTCATTATTGTGATACCTTGCTAACATTGCACTAGTTAGCCTATCCTAACCTGTTCTTTCAGTGCTTGAGTAACTTTCTGGGAAGATGCTCTGCAGGATATACTTGAAGAGCCAAGTAGAGGGGTTAAGGGCAGAACAACGCATTTGAACCAAAACTGATACGTGATTTCTGCTCACTCCTAAGGACCGACACGATTTTTATTCACACTAAAGCATTTTTGTAGGACGTAAAGCAGCAACAAGGGCACAAGAATAAAACTAAGTCTATAAAGCTGTAATTTTATGGTTTGAGCCTCCAACCCCTACGCACCTATCCCAGATTGATCAGATATTGATAAATCATTGATAATGGCTATACAAAGTGGTTACAGTGATTGGATTTGTTCAGAGCCTCTCTTTACCTGTTCGTTCCTGGCTGAAGGTATAATTTTCATACTTCCCACTCTTTGTGGTTATCATCACTTTGTAAAGTGTTCCAGGAGTAAGGTTGCTGAAGGAGCATTCACTGAAGGATTTGGGAATGGTGAGAGTCTGAACAATCTGGTCATGGTGAGAGAGTGTTACCAAGTAACTGTCTACATCTCCAGAAGCTGGCAGCCAAGACACACTGAGGTAGTCACTGCGACCTGAGTTATTTACTGTTACTCCAGTCACGCTGGAAGGAACTGTGAAACAAAGAGGAAAAACCAAAAAAGCTTTAACTAGTCAATTCTTATTGTTGTAGAAATGCCTGGAATACTATCCTCTGCAAAATAAGCAGTCTGGGACTCCTGAAAAGTACTGCACTGACTCCCACTTAGCAATGTTCAACTGCTTTTTTGAATATAGTGAAGGAAATTGTCTTTGGTGGCATGATCCCAGCACTTCTAAAATCCCAGAAGTTGAATTATCCTCTCAAATTGCCATTCCTCAGTAACAGCAATAACTACTGAGGCTGGTAGGACCTTGAGGCCCATAGCTGAATGTGTTTCATTTCCAGTGAGTTCTCTGACGCCTAGTGGCCAATACACGAATGCCACTTGTTTTTCAAGGTGAGCTCAAAGGTTCCACACTGCCAGAACTACCATCACTCATGTACAAAACTCTCAGAGGTATTACATTGGCAGAGCTTAAAAATAATGAACTGCCACATTTTCACTGGACTCTGATGCACTGAACTGACTTACCTCAGTAGAGGGGCTGGCCATCAGCTGTCAGAGACAAAAAACTCAGATTTTACAGAATGTTTATGTACTTTAAGCCTTTTAGTATTATTCTTTTCCAGTTGTTTTTTCAGGTTTGTTTTTGGTTTTTCCCCTGAAAACAGTTGTTTTCAAGGAGAACATTGGAGCAAAACCGCAGAATGCCTGGCCTTTGCCAAATTCACACAAAGGGTGAAATTGCACTGTGTTGTCAAATTTTTCCTCTATCTAAATATCCAAACAACTGGTACTATATTTTACGAGTCTTTAAACTTAGAGAATTTGATGCAATAGTAAATCCTGTGCTGTGCAGTACAGAAGAGAGTCATAATGAGTAATTAACCCTGGCAGACATTCTTTGATGGTGCATTAGAGAAAAAGAATGGGTCATGAGAAACTTAACACAGATTCATCCCACTACTTTTAGGCAGACAGTTGGCACACCTAAGTAAGGAGCAATCACTCTACACTACCAAGTAGTCAATGGAACAAGAAAGTCTCTTCCAAGGAGTGATTCACCACCACAGCTGTACATTACTCTCAGGGTATATTTTTGTCTTTATTACAGAGTGATCCTGCTGTATGGAATTCCTGCTGTAGGCAGAGCAGTTAGCTCCCTAAAGCTATGTTTACATGAATCTGGACCCACAGTGTGCCTGAGGTCACATACAGGAATTATATAGATGAAAGTCCCATAATTCTGGATTCTCAGTGCAGTGGCTTAATCACAAGACCATTCTCTTTAATAAATTCATCTTTTAAGAACTAAGAAAAGACACGCCGGAGTATTTTCCTTTTTACCTGTACTTCCCTCTGCAATCTTTTGCCTTGAAGATATCCCTCCACTGACAGTGGTGACAACAACTGAATAGAGTCCTCCAGATTTCAGAGCATAGAAGTGATATCTGTTGGTTTCACTGGGAACAGTGTCATTTTTAATGACAACATTCTCGTGAATCAATAGCACTTGGTATGAGTCTACATCTCCCAGAGCTCTTGTCCAGTTGGTGAATAAGCTGTTGGTTGATCCCTGACTTGCCACAATCAGATCAGTCACTTGGGCTGGCACTGAAAATAAAATTGTCTTAATATTACTGAGGAGAAACAAAACAAAACAGAATCCCCCAAAGAACCCAAGTTTAGTCACACTGAGGAAGTGCATCAAAAGAACATTCCAATTTGCAGCCAGACTCAACAGGACTAAAAATAATCTAACTGTGGACTGCTTCCTGTCTGTTGGGATGTGGTCTATGGGAAACTAAGTAAGTCACAGAAAGGTCTTTCAGGCTCTAGCACAGCTTTTCTCAGCCAGACCAAAATGATTCAAGATCAAGGAACTGGAAGAGATGGCATTTTATAAATATCATTAAACAAAACCCATCAATTTAGGAAATCACATGAGTTCTTTTGATGACTATTTCAAATACAGTATGTGTCTTTCATTCTCCCTTTCCTCTCCTATTTCCCATCTTTCATTCCTAATAAATGGCAAGCTTGTTTAAGGAATACCTCAGGCACAGTCATCTATGCTGTGTTAGACCCCTTAATTTTGGGCATAACTGAGTGGGATGGTTTTGGTTTTACTTTTTACATCAGAAGATCAGCAGGATATAAACTTTTATAGCATCAAAAGATGAACTGTTAAACAAACATAACATTTATCCAAGTATAACCTCATTAATCTAGTCAGACCAAAAAGGATAAAGAAATAACAAAGGAATGCAATTTGTTGCCCAAACTTTACCACAAATCCTCTTTTTTTATTTAAGTTGACAATATTTGGCCAAAGCAAGGAAATACAGTTACTTCTTGCTAAGTATTTCTGATTACAGGACCAAGCACAACTGAAATACAGAAGATTTCAACTTTATAAAATATGATAGCACTCTTCATCTCCTTTTTTGTCAACCTTTTTGCATACATAGTACTGGATTAGCAATCATTAACGAAAGCTATAAAATTAGGCACATAGCATTATGAAACAGAAAGGATTTTTGATTCAGTTTTTTATCATCTTTACATTTTTTTTTCAGCTATCATGACCTAGTAAGCTCCAACAAGACACTGAAGTGCCACATTTCTGCGCTAAACGCACTTTTAGTGGTACCTCAAGTTTCACTGGAAGCTGCCCAATCTGGGATGCATGTAAGACCTATTTCTGTCATATTCCCAGCAATATTTTTCAAGCCTGTCCTGCTGCTAGGAAGATTCAGAGGTTTGGTGTAGCGCTAAACCTGCATTATATGGGAAAACTGTTGTTTAAACATGTCTTAAAATGGCTTTTGGTGGTCTCTTTGCAAACACATGTTTCTTCTTCCCAGCACCCCCCATGTTATCCATGCAGGAATGTCCTGGGAAGGTGTCCTGAGGTGTTTCCCATTGGCCTTTGTTAACCTCTTCCTGTGATTGGGTGTTCCTGTAAGCCCCTTGAGACTTGTTACTCTGTGAATCCTCCTAAACCCTATAAATGTAGCATCCCCAACAATAAACTCTCTCTTGCCTCCTCTCCATGCCTGGTGTCCTGTCTCCCTGCCGGCCATGGGGCCACATGCGGGGGGGAGGGGGAGCACCTCTCCCCTCCAGGCTCAGGGCCAGAAGAGACCCCTGAGAAACCCCTGGAGTTCCCTTTCCCCATCCTTCAAAGCATCGCAATGGTTCTTCAGATGGAAATGGAACTAGAACTGGGCCGCCCCACGTCGTGGGTGGGGAAAGGGATCCAGAGTTTGGAATGCTTATTAGAACCTATGCTCAAATTAACTGATGTTCATTCCTTTTAACTCATTTTCAATGTAATGTTGACACACTATCCCTGTCTGATGGGTTTTGAAGCATTGATTCATACTAGTAAAGTGGGACACCATAACCTTTATGCCTGAATAGGCCTCCTAAAGGGGCATAAGTCAGATGGAAGTGAAATTTCAGCTATCTAATCACAAAGCAGAGAAATGAATGCGTAAGTTAAACTTATCAGGCCTTGGAAGGAGTAACAAATTTTAAGCAAGGACCACTATCAAGCCATTGGTATGATTAGATTCAGACACTAGCAGATTGTTTTTCACTGTGCTGTGCCAGACCAGAGCTACATTTTAAAACTTTGTTTGCACTGGAGAACTCTTAAGTCAAGCATCACATATGGTTTAAAACTTGCACACCTGCACAAAATTAGCACCCTGCAGGGGGTGGGAATGGGACCTTTCTTGTGACACAGCAATCATGCCCATAACAGATACATATGCTGGAATCCAAAGAGCAGAAAGATTCAAAATACATCTTCAAGGTCACATATGTTTTGTGTCTGTCACCCTTACAATGTTCCCCCTAAAGTAACATTTTCTGTGTGGTGATGTTTGTTTTTTTCCCAGATGATGAATGCTTTGAATCAAGGAAGTGACCTTCCTGAAAGTACACAGCGAAAATTTTTCTTCTTATATGGAATATTGTGCTAATGTAGATTGATTAGACATGACATAATACTTCAGAAAACTGTTTTGCCAGGAATTACACATCCATTTCCCCAAAATATTAAATAAGTGCTGCAAGATAACTGACAGTCAGAAATCAGAGGTTCAGAAACACTTTTGAAATGAACATAAGATCAAGATGTTTGAGATTTAGACAACGAGTTAATTCAAACAAAGCAAGGAAAATCATTAATAGTTAACAGAAGAAAAGATTAAAACAGTTTGACAAGACGATACCTGTTCTTCCTTCCACTGAAGTCCAGTTGCTTAAAGTCCCGCTAATGGTAGTGATGGTAGCTGTATATTTTCTTCCTGGTACCAAGCCAGTGAAAGTGAATTCCTTAGCTTCTTTTTCAAGCTCTTTTTTTATGATAGTAAGATCACTGTCTCCCAGGGAAACCACATAGCTGTCCCATTCTGCAACAGGGGTCATCCACATGACACTAAGTGAAGATTCATTAGCATGCTTCACACGGAGCTGGAGAACAGGCTCTGGAGCTGTAAAGGTACACAAATATCACAAGGAGAACAGGACTTTTTAGTGAATGCACTTGCCATGCCTCGAGCTGCTGTAAGAAATCTGTTCCGTAAGACAGATATGTGACAGCAAGAGAGTATTTGCAGTCAAGAGGAGATTCTTTACCTTTCTCTAGGAAGCCATTCTTATAAATCTAGTATTTGTGCTACTCTTCCAGCAAAGGGCTGTAGCAACAGACTTCAGCAATGGCTTATGGCTTAGGTTTAAACTTACGTAAGGATATATATTTTAGTATAAATGGAAACACAGGGAAATCAGTGAACTTCCTCTTGAACTCTGGGTGCTAGACAGGGATATAAGACATTTGTACCATAAAACAAATCTTCACTAATTTAAGTCTAACAAACAAGGATGCAAACTATAGGGTCAGAGTGACATTGATTTTGCAGTGGTTTATAGCTCAGTCAAGTTGAGAGACATTTCAAACTTACAGTGGTATAAAAGAAAGAATTCCATCAGTGAACTTCTGTGTGTGTTCATGTGTGTGTGTGTGCGCATGCATACACAGCAGGCATGTTACCTAAGTAGTCTCCAATCTGATTCTGTCCCTCTCACGTTGAAATACAACTCACTTTCCAAGGCTGTGGGTTTATGTAAGAGAAAATTAAATTACAACAGGACCTAATTGCTATGCTTCATAAAAGATACACTGTGGACCTGACTGTGGGTCAAACACAGCTGTGATACACCCTCTGCTGGGTATTATCTAATGGACTATGTCCTAATTACAGAATCATAGAATCACTTAGGTTGGAAAAGACCTCTAAGGTCATTGAGTCCAACTATTAATGGCTTAGCTGACTCAATTAAAAGTAACACCATAAACTTAAATTATTTGCAACATATGTCAAGGTAAGGAAGGGGAGAATGTGCCTTGCTCTGACCAAATTTGCTAGAAGTCAGAGAAAGCTTCAGTTCTGTGTTTCTACTAGTCTTGCTGTTGTGTGAAATTAACAAATTACAGTCTCAGGGAATGACAGGTAAGGGTATAGCAGATAGAGTGGCCCTATCTAATCTCACATTCTGCAGTGAGGTAAGTCTTAGGCTTGAGCCTTACCTGTTATTCCCCCTTCAGGTCTTCTTTCCTCTGAATTGCACTTATTCTGTATCCATAGAGCAGAAATTCTAGCAACTATATCACAATTAGTTTTTAAATTTGAAGCAATCAGATGTGGCTTTCACTAACAAACTGCGAAAGAATTCCACTCTGTCCTTGAAGTATACGTGGATTTCCTTTGGAAAGACTGACTTGAACCGACTAACCTCATTTTCTTTATGGAGCAAAGGAACAGGAACTGGTATGCTATGGAACAGCCACACTAATATACACCTCAGGAAGCTTTGGTTAACACTGCTGATATTCTTTATACAGACTGGCAAAGAAACATACTGATGAACAATACAGGAAGACCTGTGCTGCTCTCTTTAAGAATTTTATAGGGTGCCTCCAATCAGCTACAAAATATAACAGGTGAAGTGCAGATGTAATGCCCCAGTCATGACATAATGGCGATATAGGTCCTAAAACTTTCACTAACAAAACAATTACCACAAAAATAACCCTGAAAGTTTTCACAGAACTAATACCAATTATTTCTGTAGTTTACAAGGGAGCTCCTTTTTACTGTATTAATGTGAAATTCATCTGTAGATTCCCAAGTAGTCTTTGAGTGTTCACAGCCCAGCTGAACATTTTGCACTCTCACACTGCCTGGATGAGCACACTGACCCGTTCTCCCCGTGCAACTAGTCTTGCTCTGCAAATCACCGCTCTCCACAACAACATCCACGCCGTACTCCCTCCCAGGGATGAGGCCCATGTCACAGATGAGGTACTCGGTAGTATTCTTCTCGAGGGTGGTGTTGAGCAGCAGGGCCGTGCGGTTCCACAGGAGCAGGTGGTACCTCTCCCAGTCTCCCGCAGGGGGCAGCCAGGTCACTCGCAGAGACCTCAGCCAGCCACCAGAACCGGCCTGAAGCTCTGAAACGTTCTGGGGAACTGGAAGAACAAAGCAAAAAAGTAATACTGAAGTGGAGTATTTCTGGTGAGACATAACAGAACGCTGGAAAAACCTGTCTCACAGCATAGCTATTGTACAAGTACTTGTACCAGCTAGAGCAATGTGAGGTATCTTGTTGGAAAGGTTGGCCTTCATTTTAAAGAAAACTTTTACTTCTCCCCACACAACCCACTCACTTTTTTCCTGCTGGTTTCTGACATCAGAAATGGGGAACCCTTCTCAGGGCAGGCAAAATCTCCCCTGTGCATTTCTTGGATGCATCTCTTGGTTTTCAGTTAGCTTCCGTGTTGCTTCCTGCTCTTAAGTTCATGCAGAAACTGTCAATCAATTTTTCACACCTAAAGTCAAAACCTCAACCGCTATGGGTCAAATTCTGGCCTCAGCAGCAGAAATGCAAAGTCTGATGGCTTATTCCACAAAGATGGATTCTTCCACCTTTGTATGCCCTAATTCCTCCCAGCTGCAAGGTACCAGTTAAAACTGAGGTCAGTTAAAGCCTCTACTCCATCCTGTCCTGCACTTACACGGTCCTGAATTTACATGCTCAACCTTCTCGCCCTACTGCTGCAGGTCACACTGGACCACTGAAGCTTTTCTAACTATTGCCAGAGTCAGAAAGGGGTATTCCTGAAACAATATTGTGCTCTTTATCTGATTTTGCCTGGAATCTGAACCATTTTCTCTTACAATGATCTTCTACAAGGCCAGTGTAGGCAAAAATAGCATTATTTACAATATTCTTACTGAAGCAGAAGACTTACATGTCCTGCCAGTTGCCATCCCATCAGTAAACAGTTCACCACTGATTGTGCGGGCAGTAACCTGATAAAGACGTCCTGGAGTTAGCTTATCAAAGTGAGTCTCGGTGATTGGTGGCTGCACAATTTTGAGTCCTTTAACTGATCCAAGATGAGACAGAGTGATATTATAGAAATCGAAGTTTCCCAAAGGTTTTCTCCACTTAACTTTTAAAGCATCTAAGCTGTCATCATTAGTCACTGTCAAATCTAAGACTTCAGCAGGGGCTAAAAAAAAAAGAAAGTAAGAAAGAGAATAAAATACATCCACCACAAAACATATAAGACCTGCTGTCTCCAAACTTCCATAGTTGAGTTTTGCTGTTGAACAGTTACATGAGATGGAGTAGGAACAATTTTGCCTGAACAGTAAAAGGGCAAAGTCTGCTCACAGGGATACGGAACCCAGCCCTGTGTAAGACACTGTACTTCTGAGAGAGACATGTCTTTTGATGACCGCTCTTACTTCATGGAACAGAAAATCTTTTAGCCATGTCTGCACTCACACTAGTCACTTTGACCATAAAACAGATCGTGCACACGCTCCTAACAGATGCCTGCATATATTTCGGTAAACATTATGGCATTACTGCACCTATGTCTGATTTACACCAGTCTAAACGGGATTTGAATAAAACTCCTTTATTCAAATGCTCCACCAAAAGAAAAGCATAGCCACCTCCAGTATCTTAATTACTCAGGCCTGAGGCACAGTAGGTACTGAAATGGAGGACTGTGCTGCAAGCTAGATGGAGTGCGTTTACATTCTAACAATACCTGTGAGATTTAAAATTATTGCACCTCACAACAGGAAGAAATAAAAAAGTCTGAAGAAATAAAATGAAACAAGAGTAATCCCCAAAACAGCCCAGTTGACAACAGCACTCATCTGTGTGTCTTAGACACGACAATATTGTTTATGTAAATTATGTCTACATGATGACATTTCTGTAGGAGAAACTGTACCTTGCTCTTCCCAGAAATTAAGGAAAGCAAAGGCTGGTTTTGCCTATGTAAGTGTTTTAAGTATTGGATTCTAGTAGGATGTCATCTTATCTTTATCTTAATGACCACATAACACTGTCTTGGAAAAACCTTCCTAAAAAAAAAAATCTAAACTCCTATTTCTGTGGATCAGTATTTCTTTGTGAAAAGAAACAACCCACAAAACCCCAAATCAAACCAAGCCACCAAGCAAACAAAAAACTCAAACAACCAAACAACCCAAAACCACCAACATTCAATTTTAAAGTTCTTAAGCTGCTACACATTTTTTTCCACTTCCTTTTCAGAAGTGCAGCTATTTTGAAATTCAGAGAGAAAAAGCCACAGAAAATATTTTCTTAAAAAACTCACAAGCTCTATATCTCCCATTCAGATCGGTATGAATTATGGAGTTAAACTGTCTTTAGTACTTTCACTTAAGTGAAATAACCAGACTACACACTGCCCCAATTCACTGAAGAAGTTACTACAGGAGTCAGGGCACTGTGGCTCAGATTGTTAAAACCTAACTGCTGCCACATTAAGCAGTGCAGCTAAATTAGCTGCAGACACACTATGAGCTAATTTACCTGCTAACTTTGTTGAGTGGTAACTTAAGGAGTTAAATAAGCTTACGGTGTTTCCAACTTGGAACACGAATCACTTTTTATTCTGAAATAGGTCCTATAATATTATTAGATTATGGCCTTAGCTTCTTGTTTTGTTGTGACGAATTCTGAAATCATGCCTGTCCTGACTGAAAACTGCTGCTCTCCCATCCCGCAGCCTGGGTTATGATAGAGAGGTTATAAAGGTGGCCTGCTGTAAGTCCTGAAAAAGTGTAGAAGGTCAGAGAATCTTTCTGATGAATCTCATGAACTGGGACATGATTATCTAGTAACACCACCCTGTAACAATCCACATGCCCAGAGCCAGGAGACCATGAAGCATGGATAGCGTCTGTCTTGACACTGACTTGGATATTTTTCACAGGGGGTGGGACTAACTGTTATCTCCAGGATCTCAGCAATTTTGAATAGATTTACTTTTGAAAGATGTTTGGTTTCTTTAGGGTTAGTGAAAACCCAGTCCCAAATATACAATACCAACATGACTCCACTCCATTCTTAGCAAACAATTCTTTATGTTAGTCAGATATTCCTGTTTTATTTCTATTTATCATCAATAGGTACTTCCAAAAATATATATAAAGATCTTGCCATGTAGAAGAATTATATGCATTTGCTAATTTCAACATGCAGAACTGCAGACTACTGTATGTGGTTTTAATTAGATGAATTACAGTAATAAAAGTCCTACCAGTATATCCACTTATGTGAAGTTCTGGGGTAGTCTTATTTCCAGCGACTGCACTGAGGACAATGTTGTATTTATTCCCAGGGATGAGACTAAAAAAAGTATTTTCTGTTTTTGAAATGCTTCCTGGTACGGAGACTTCTTGTATCTTTTTATTATCATCATCAAATAATATTAGGTTATACAAGTCCACCTTTCCTGAGGAAGGATCCCATTGAACTTCCAAGCTTGTGAGTGTAGTCTTTTCCTTATTAATTTCCAAACGAGATGGCGGCAAGGGATCTGTAGTTAGAAAAAAAAAAAAAGAGAAAACTTAAACCATTTCTTGCATTATGATTGTCTGAGATTTTACACAACAGCACAAAAATTCTTCCAAAACTCTCCCTTTATCATCATCGTGCTGCCAATACTTTTCAAAATGTCTTTTTCTTTCAATTTATAAACACTGTATCACTGAAACCTGTCTACAAGAGAGTCCTGCAGAATTCAGAAATGTTACTTTTTACACTCACTCACAGGTAGCAAAACACTTCCACTGTGGATGTATATTACAAGCTTGGAAATCTGCTGATAGTAAAACTGTAACAGCTTTAATAAAAACCAGCAAATTACACTCAGTGCCTCAGCATAATGTAGCTTTATAGATACAATGGCAGCAGCAGCTTTCATTTCCTAGCACTCACACTAAACATCGTCACTAAACACTTTATCACTAATGGGCGTGAACATTTATACAATTTTAAGCGCAACAATCCTTTGTTTTTAGTATTAGCTTCAACTGCTTCAAACACATTCTGATAGAATGTGTTTCTGCTCTGATTTAGTATTGTTCATGTAAATTTAAAAAAACCCAAACAGTACATTGGATAAATCTTCATGAACTAATATTGGGACTGCTTCTCCGAGAAACTCTCAACATTCATTATGTTGTTTACTAAGGAGCTCTCAAGTAAAATCACCTGTGAAATACAATACACTCTAAAGAGATGGCAAACTGACCAAACAAAAAGATTCTGATTGCTTTTATTCTTCAGGTGTATTACATCACTCCCAAGACTTCATGCAAACTAAAAAGAAATGTATTACATGTTGGTGTACTAAGGTTTTGACATTTATGTCTCCCAATAAGGTTAAGCAATTGCCTATTAAAAAGGTATCATAAAACAACCCAAAGCAGCAAAATCAAGCCTTCACAAGTTGGGAAGTTAAAGGATAAGGGTTCCCCATCAATTTAGGAACTAAATTTGCCTTCCACAACAGTACACTCTGTGCTACTCTTCCCTAGCATTAGACAGGGAATGTATGGTGCATCCAGGCTGAGAACTGCAGTCTCTATATGACCAGCATCTTAAACACAGAACCTTAAACACAGAAGAACAAGAACAGTCATTGCTGCTTGGTTCCCTAAACAAAGCAGACAAAAGGGTGTGAGATCACATAATTAAAAAATACACCGTAAGGGCTAAAATAACAAAGTCGAACTTACACCCATCCTACAAATACAATGGTAGGAGAGCCTAGGATTCTTTAAGCTGCTTTTTCTTCAAAGCCTGCATGGTGTAGAGGGTGTAATTGCTTCATACAAAGCTGAGAACATAGTGGTGCCAAGCACTGGTGGTGGTATGCTTTATCAATCAAGTATATTAGGAATGCCAAAGAAGCACCTCGTTCTTTGGAGACATTAAAAAACTGACTGGATATAGTCCTGGGCAACTGGATCCAGGTGGCCCTGTTTGAGCAGGAGGCTTGGACCAGATGACCTCTAGAGGTCCCCTCCAACCTCAACCTTTCTGTGACTAAAAAATACTGTGTCCCTTTGAACCCAGGTCTCTGCTTAAATTCAAATTCTTTCTTTGGACAACAGAGATGTTAGTGCTCTTCAGAAAAAGAGATAAAAATTAAATTAAAAAAATCAATCAATAAAATGAACTGTCTTTTCTTGACTGCTTTCTTAAAGGCCAAATTAAATCTGAAAAATAAAAAAAAAAATTAAAACTCAAGTCAAAGACTAAGCACATAAAACTTCAGGCCAAATAGATAAAACTTCACCCAACTACAGCAATTGAAACAGGAGGTTTTAATGAAAAGTGCCAGGAAATCTTAACAATAGGCTTGACTACCAGCTCCACCTATTTAATATATACTAAGCCACTAACGACCATTATGTTGGCAAAAGTGAAAAGGGGGGTTATAATCTTGTTCCTTGAAGGCAATTGTTGTAATCAAAAAGGTCAAACTTTGGGAGTCAGAAATAAATTCCAGCACTAAATATGATCAGATCCACAGCCAGCTGAAAAGTTTTTTATTTGGCTGACATCGAGAGAAAGTCATGATAACCGTCAAGAAGTTTACCCTCTTTCTGACAAAGTTAGAATAAGGTTGACTGTTCTTCAGTCCTGCAAAAGTAATCAACATTGTAATCTGTATTATTTGCCAAATTTGACAAAAGAAGATATCTACATTTTTAGAAGCACTTATACTGTCCTGGGTAATCTGTCTTCTAAGGTGCATGAGCAAAGAAGAAAGTTGCGTGCCTAGAAGGTGAAGTTCAGAAATTCAGACTTTATCTAATCTATCTGGTCCAGAAAACAAAACACTCAGTGCTTTGTACATCCGCTAGAACAAAGGAACAATGAGACTGGGAAGTGCCTGGACTGAAAGAGCCCTGGATGGAAACAAACACTTAAAAAACCATTTACATTGTTATACAAGTCTCTGCTGGCAATGATACAACACTGATACATCACAGAAATGAAATACTTTCACAAAGATATTTTTATACCATTTGATAATATATGAATTAATGTCCCCTAGTCTACAAAGGCATCTTTCAGAAGACTTAATGGTGTTTGAATTATATTGCAACTCCATTTTCACTTTTTGGGAAGAGGATGTGCTTTGTGTGCACAGCTGCTGCAGATCCAATTCATAGACATGATAGATATGGTTATGTCCAACCCCAATGACATGATTCCCAAGTACAGCCTGTAAGCACAGAAACACACCCGCATAACGCAGGAGAAAAAATTACTGGGAGATATGAGCCCAGGACTGAGCAGTGGGGAATTCCTGCCAGTCCCAGCCATCTTCCTACCAAATTATCGATTTCTTTCCTAGTTTTCCCTCTTCATAAAACAGTAACCTACTTTATAAGGACTTTTCTGAAGATTAAGTAAAGAGGGTTGATTGCATCATCTTAAGTACAAATATCCATTTCTTTGGGATGATATGCAACTTCGAAAAATCTTTAAAACATGGTTATTTATTTACTTCTTGTACTCTGTCTTTTGAAATTATGATCATAACCATTACATGATTATGGATGATAGAATTATACAGTCCACAGTTAGAGCTATGTCACATATGGCTCCTACAGATGGCTAATAAATCAGATTTGTCCCAAATAATTTGAAATTTACAGGAGTGAACACATGGCCAAGGCATGCCTCTGGCATTTACAGAGTTACATATTACAATGAAGAAACACTCTACCAGTCTGCACCCTAGAAGGTAGCATTTTTAAGTTCTTTTCATTCAAATATTTAATGGTTTTTCTAACAAAAAGTTATTTACCTCTTAGTTCTCTCAGTACAGGAGGCTCGGATTAGGCAGTAACATAATATATCACGGCAATATTTTTGTAGAAAACAATTTTGAAATAGCATTTATAAGCCTACATTAGAAGACATATTTGAAAGCAGGGTAATTGCCAAGTTGTTTTTCATGGCTCTCAAGACAATATTTCAAATCTGAATTTCAATTCAGAAATTTAACTGTAATTTAGGATCTGATCATATACTACTGTTTTTAACTAGAATTTTAATTAAAGACCTAGTCATTCACCGAAATGCACAGTTACACTGGTGCACAGACATTTGGAGAGTTAAGAACTTAAAATGTATTTTATCTGAAATCAGGAAAGACAGAACTCTACCATCTTTTGTCATTGAGCAGCTCTCAGTGACAGAAATAGTTTTACTGAGAACAATAAAGAATATAACATGAAAGGACCAACAGATGCATGTGTTATCCCAATTTTACAATGTCAAGCGTGCTGACTAGTTGTATGGTGTTATGTGATGCTTCATGTATACATGTATATAAAAAACCCATAACAAATTGTAATTGTAAATATTAACGCGAAACAAATATGCAAACTTGTGCCTACTAACAGCTGTAATCTCAGGTTTGCAGTGGAAAATTAGTCTGTAGCTTAGAGTTGATAAATGGTGTTATCAGCTTTTTCTTTCTTTCCTATTCTACTAAAATATCAACTGTCCCCACTGTGTGTGTTTGCATGTCTGTGTATACCTGGCTTATAAAGTGCATATGTGACTGTATTGTGCATAGTTTTGGATATTTTACTTCTGCTCTACAGGATTAAATACTTGTTGTTTTGACAACCCATCAATCAAAATTTCTTGAGTAAAGAGAGTCCACTTTAGTGGTCTAACGTGGATTGTTGTACCAGTATTCCACACATTATTAGATTTCATATCTCTGCATCCATAAGAGAAATAGAAGCTGCTTTTCTACTCAACGACTCACAAAGGTGAATCTGGCGTTACTTGAGAGTTTAAGCAATCTTGGTGAGCTGCACCATTATTCTACTGGAATATCAAACTTCCAAACAACACAGATTGTGATTTTAACGTGACATTACATACTCCAAAGGCCAAATGAAATTAGGAATTTGATCCTCTCCAAGCCTTCACATTACCACTGCAACTACAGTATGCATTATTCATCGCTTTCACCTTGAGTTCTTAATTGCAAAAGTTTACATGCAAAATTTAACAAAATATTTTGAATGTTATGCACTTAACTACTCAAGCACTTTGTATAAGAAACTTGATGAAAATGAACTCAGAACTGACACATGAAAATTTTAACAGGATTGAATCTGAGCAAAAAGCTAGTTTTTGAACTAGGCATATAAACGAATTTGAAAGTTTTTCTGTCTGCATTTATTGTATCAAGATGACATAGTTGTTCAAATCTCATTTTGCAAAAGATAAACACATGAGATGGGATTCCTCTCCCTGCAATCAACTAAACTTCAGGCTCCTGGTTCAACCCAGTTTCCTTTGATAGTCAGTGGAGAAAGCTGGGCACCTTCAAAGTACAGCTTAGCCCATCTTCCTTAGTAAAAGCTCAGAAACGGAACTTCACTGAGTACCAAGGTCAGACATATTTTTAGACAGCCCATGACAGCTCAGTTCTGCTACCATTGAAATCAGTGGAAATTTTGTTTACAATATGGCTGAACATATGGCTTATACTTCCATACTCACAGGACAATTTCCAGAAACACCTGCCTATGGTCACTCAGGCTCAGTAGACCATAAACTAAAACTACTGACATCAGAGCTTGAAGAAAACTGGTTTAAAATGCTGCCCCTAGTGGAAACTTACAGAGGAATAATCCTCTAATTCTTCATCGAAAAGCTTAGTACAGTACAATACGGGTTGTTGACAGGTATAACAAAACCATTCTTTAGGAAAAAATGAGAAATTTTGGATTTTGTGCATTTTACAGCATCAAGCAATGCAACTCGTGATTGAATCAAGGGAAGCAAAGGAACCACAGAGTAACATGAGTACCGCTTTTTGCAGGAAACCTTCACGGTTCTTCTATTCTTATTTCTTGCTTTTGACTGATCTCTGCTATCCAAAATCCAAACACAAATCTCACTTCAACTATGGTCCACTAATCTGCAGTATTTCAACTTATATCAGACTTTTCACTTTGATGTCAGCTATGAAATATGACTCTAATCATCAGTTGCTATCAATCACTTTCATCTTACAGCCTTGCAAAATCTATTTAGTGATAAAAAATTAATAAATGGCATGTACAAGCTTCTGTCTAAACGATTATGCATTAATCAAAATACGTTCTAAGGTAGTATGTTTTTCTCTACTTCTATGCAAGTGTTCAATAACAGAACTTTACCATACAGAAATGGTGGTGATTTGTACCCATCACTCTGATAACAGTTGATCTATTCTTTCAATTTTCACATTACAAGTCATCAATATTAAAAACAGTTGGCATGATGCACAACACTGATTTAAATCACTGTTTGCAGAGAAACCATTTTTCATTTTTACCAAGTGACTTGACTTGTGCTTAATGTATAGCTATCACACCAGCAGACTTGTCACTAAATGTTTTTTAACTTACCAAAGCAAATTAACGGAGGGTATTTAGTGCATTTGTACAGTTAATGCAGGGAAAAGGCTCTGATAGAAAGCGATATCTGTGAACAGGTAATTATTAAGTATTTGGCTACTGTAATCTTCAATACTAATACTGCAAAGTATCTCTCTGAAACTAACACTTCGGGAGCAAATCAGGGAGGTATTTAATGATGGACCTCCTTTACAGACATCTCTGTTTTGGGTCTTGAACTACCACCATTAAGAGCTTGGACAATATTATATTTCAGCATCGTAAAAAAAACCCCCACTGATACAGGTAGAAAGAGTTCAGTTCTGACACTGCAGCTGTTGGCCCTATGCTGTCCATTTCTTCACAGCTGAATTGTTCACATGCACACACAAACACAAATGCAAAAAGGGAGCCTTCCCTGGTAGCACTCTGTCAGACTACTGGCTCATTTTCTACAGCCAGTCATGGATGTGACACTATAAGTGCTCTGCACACAACTGTACATCATAACACCTCACTGGTGATATCCAAGAAAAAAATAGAAGCAAGAAGTTTCAGCCTTTCTGACTTTTAAACTGTGGTTGGACAAAACAAAAGTGTGGAAATGGGCTGAAACGGTAAGCTATCCTTGAAGAGGATTTACCTGCTATGAAATAGATTGTATTTTAAACACAGTAAACAACCTGTCACTTGAGTAACTACGAAGAGAATGGGGTTGCATGAGCACAAAGAATATTATGGGCTACTACTTCTTAAAGCATTCTTCTGACCAAGTCTCCTCACAGCACCTTCTCCTTTCAAACCTGCTCGGCTAACTGTTGGCAGTGTTTTCTTCTGGCAGTGGGCTAAGGAGAACTCAAGCGCAGGGCTGCTATGTTCAGCAAACACTGTCCGTTTGCCGTAGCTGTAAATGCATCGCCCTCCTCCTCTTGGAGCAGGGCGAAACAAGGGGACGGGAAGGAAAAGCCCGGCGTCCCTCCCCGTGCACCTGCCGCGCCCGCGCCCGTACCTGTCTGCACGGAGATGTTGAGAGCCTCCCCGCCGGAGAACGGCTCGATGTGGAGGTGGTACCAGGTCCCGGCCTCCAGGCCCCGCAGGGTGCAGTCGTAGGTCCCGTTGCCCGCGTGGGCGGGCTGGCAGCCGGCCGCCTCCCCGTCCTCGGAGCGCCCGCTCAGGCTGAAGTTGCAGGCGCGGCCCGCGGCGCTCCAGCGCAGCCGGACGCTCTGCCCGAAGACGCGCTGCTCCGTCAGGTTGGCGCTGCATCCCGCCTGCCCCAGCGCGGCCTGCGGAGAGCGGGGAGAGCTCTGAGAGACCCGCCGGCGCCCCCCGGGCTCAGCCCCCAGCCCCGTCCCCGAGCTGTGCCGGTCCGGCGCGAACGCACCCGCATGTCCCGAGCTGCGACCTGCGACGGGAGACCCTGCACCGCCCCCCTCCTCCCGGCCGCTCACCTTGGTCAGGGCCAACGCCGTCCACAGGGCGAATCCCGCTCCATAGCTCAGCATCGCCGACAGTTTTTAACCCCGAAAACCCTCGCGGGGAGGGGAAGAGGAGAAGGGACGGAGGGGTGGGGTGGGGGGGTCCGAAGAAGTGAAGTGGCGGCGGCGGGCCCCGGGGGCCCCCCGCTCCCCGCCGGGCTCCGAGCCCTGTGCCGGGCCGCCCGCCTGCTGCATGCGCTCGGGGCTGCCCCGGCCGCCGAGCCGCCTCCCTGACACCGGCGTGGGTGGGGGGGCTGCCCGCCCGTGGCTGAGGAGGAGCGGGGAGGCGGGGGAGGCGGCCGCCACTTCCCACGCTGCCATTCTGACCCGGGCTGACTCTGCCGGAGCCCTTCCCGCCGACTTCCGCAATCAAGAGGCGATTTCCTCGCGTCTCGCTGCGGGGGGTGAAGCGCGGCGATCCGGGACCTGCCGCCCACCCGGCAAGCGACCAGCCCCGGGGTGCCGCCCCTCGCTCCTTAAGGATCCCACCTTCCTCCCGGCTCCTCTCCCACCCCACCTCTCTTCCTTCCTCAACGCTTCCTCTGCATGCCGGCTCTCCCCTGGGTCTTGTCTTCCCAAGCGTTCCTGCTTGTGCATGGGGGCCCCTCAGGCGGTGCTGTTGTTGCTGGGGGGTGGCACTCTCACCTCACGCTGCCTGCACCTCACTTGACGCTGCCTTGCCTTGTCTCATGGTTGCATTGCCTCACAACCTCCTCACCTTACATCTGCCTCGTCTCATGCCTGTCTTGCCTCACAGCTGCCTTGCCTCATGTGCCTCCTCATCACACCTGCCACTCCTCATGGTAACCTCACCTCACACCTGCCTCGCTCCATGGCCACCTCACGTCCCATGCCTGCTCTACTCATGCCTGCCACTCTTCACAGCCACCCCACCTCCTAGCCCACCCTCCTCTTGGCCTCAGCCATCACTAACGCATCAATCCAGCTCCTGTATCCCAAACACTGATGTTTTTAGGGGTTAGCCATAGACCACCAAGGCCTCCATCCCTGGCCCTATGGCACTGTGACCAGAGACCTTGTGTCCAGGAGAGTCCCAGCAGAGCCTGACACTGAGCTGATGTCTGGAGCAGAAGAGTAGTCTGTCTGTGAGCAGTCATCTCAGCTTGTTTTGTTCTGCATCAACCTGTGTCCTTGAAACAATTCCTTCCCACATTCCCCAAATAACTCCCAAGCTAAAATTACACACACCATGGAAAGCAAGAAAGTTTCTCTCTTTTCACGTTGCACCAAAAAAGCTGTGCACAACTCCGAGTTGGCTGCTGTAAAAATGGAAACTTGCCATTTCTGCCATGCATGCCCATTTCCTCCTTGTTTAGGTTTCAGCCTCTTAAAAATCATGTATATATGTATGTGGGGTGAGGGAAAAGAAATGTAGCCAGAAGTGTTTTTCACCTTCAGATATTCAAATAGCAGCCATGGAGTGAATTTAGGATTGCATAAAGGGGAAAGAATTTGACATTTACTTTCTTCAGTGGGAATGGCACATTTCTGTGTCTTTCTGTACTGCATGATGCATGTTGGATTTAAACTTTTAAAAGCAGTACCTCAAGCAAATTGAACACTGTCTCTATCACTTTTGCCCCATTTTAGGGAGAAAAAGGTTCTAGGTTTAGAGATGCTAGTCTGCCTTTTAGGGGAGCTGCTGCTCTAGGATTTTTCTGGGCAATCAGCCTGTCAAACAAGATACAAATGTCTGAAAAACCTTAGCTCTCATTCTTCTGTTCTGAAACCAAAGGTCTGAGCACTCAAGGGTGTTACCCACACTTACGGAAAACTTCATTTGTCCCAGTGGAACTCCATGCCTGGTCCTAAGTACACAGTACTGAAAGTGCTGGGCTCTATTCTGCAAAGCTTAGGATGATTAATAACTTTATGAACATCACCTTAAGTGACAATATAAATATGTATTGATGATTATGCCATTCTCAAGTCCATCACAGAACATGATCTCCCTCAGAAGAGATGTTTCACATACTTTAGACAGAAGGAGGGACCAAGCCCCAAAGAGCTAGCACAGGGGTAAACATACCATTGATGGGAAATACAAGGTGTATTTCTTAGACCTAAACTGGAATTCAAATGATATAGATGTGTGGTAATCATTCAAGGTGAGAGAGTTTTACAGTGTGATTCCATCTTTAGATGATCATGGTTTTTGGACCTAATGGCATAAACCACACTAGTATTTTTCCAGCACTTAGAGAAGCAGAGATCTGAAGGTTTATTGGGATGTTTGGATTACTTGAAACTCCTCTCTGTAGATTATAACATTGAGAGTAACTTGCGTTTTCTTCAAAAGCAGAGCTCACATCATTATAAGGAGTTTTGAAAACATCCATAATCTGAATTTGCAGGGAAGATATAATTCAGATATTTAGGTATAAGTTATTTAAGCCGATATAATATGTGAAAGGGAAAAAACATAATCAACACTGCAAACATAAAATTCAGGGAAAAAAGTGGAACCTACCACAAATAAAATTTAAAGAGTTTTGGAAAGAAATATTTGTTTGTCTCTTCCAGCTAATGTAAGATAATATGTGGAGAAAAATTATGCTATTGCTTCTCACAAGTGCTCGTAATTTAGAAGTTCCTACTTTATTAGTCTTATTCTTGCAATCATAGAATCTTTATCTTTTTGTATTAATAGGGAAGAACTGGTTTATTACTGGTTTTGAGACTTCCTTCTGTATATTATCCAGCAAAAGCTGCTGCAAGGGTAAGGTCTGACACAGATGCCTATGCCAGCACTGAAGTAAAACAGGAGGGGTCCATCATTCACTGGTGGCAATATATTTATATAGAATAGCCAACATAATGCAAGTAATTATTTCCAGACTGGTATTGCATAAATGGGCTTTGAGTAGATCAGCAGTCACACAGCCTTTAACACTTACTGATCTGTGTGGCAAGCCAAGAAACTAATTAGAAAAGAAAAAAGAACTGTAAGTGAGTTTTGGGAGTTGCCGGACGTGTCTCTAATAGCAGGCTCCAAAGTCCCTTTCAGACACTTTCCCAAGGTTTCCTGAGTTGGGTTTTTTTTTTAACACTAGCCTCTCTGTCTCTCTAATCAAGAGGAAATGGGCTTTGCATAGCTTTTGTCATGGATTCAAAGTGCAAGCTGCAATTTTACTTGAAATCCAAGGCAGCTCTAAATCAAACATTTTGTTCAATTGAAATGTCACTATTGTCCCCCCAAAAAGGGTATGTGCACAGCCAAATAATATCGAGGCTTTACTGTTACAAACAAGAGGACCCAGCTTGGGCAAATGCAGTTCATAGGAGGTATTGTCTTCCTCGCAACAATACTCAGCACTCAGTCTACGTGTTTTTGAAGTATCGTGTTAAATCCAGTTAATCCTCTAAACATTCCTGCTAGTTTGACAAAAAATATTTTTGATTCCATTCTAAAGACTAGAAAACAGAGATGGAGGCCATAGATTTTAAGTTTGTGTGTTGGTATATCTAGATTGGTATATCTGATTGGTATATCTAGATTCAAATGTCCAGAGCCAGCTAGAGGCTCCAAGGGAAAGCTATTATTCTTTTTTTCGTTGATATGCATATCATCAAAATTATAGTTTGAAAGTTTTGACCTAAGCAATTGCTCAGCGCAAATGATGTCATCAGCAGGTGAAGTGGGGTAGGAACACAGGAGGCAGTAGTTTCTGCAGTTCAAATGGTGCCACTCCTCTAGCTCTGGTTGTATTATTTAGTAGGAATGCTGGAGGCAGTCTGGCTAATACCAGATTTTATAGAACATTTCCATTTGGAAGTAACCAATATTTGGTGCAGGAGGTATGCTATGTGGACAGAAGACATGAGGAAATAAGCTCAGCCTGCCTCCGGAATAATCATATTTTACAAGGACTGCCTACATCAGCTGTGAAATGGGGTGCAGTGCTTCCATCATCAGCTCAGCCCCTTCCCACCATCAGCACTAGAACAGCAGTGTCAGGGTCCATAAACCGTTGAGTTTACAGACCCTGACACTCTCCACAGCCTTCCCAAATACAAAACACATTTCTTAGTCTTATCCACAGCAACGCATAGTAGTAACTGAAAACATGTTTGCCTGACCCAATACATTGAGAGTAGTGTGGTCTCCTGGAAAAGAAGCCCCAGGGAATTTAGAGATTTTCAGTTCTAAACCACTATGTGATGATAGTGATACAGTGACCAATAATGTCCTGCATGCTTTAGCTCTAACTGCCCATGCACATTTCGCCAATGGTGATTCCAGGTTTGCTCTCAGATTACTGAACTAAGTCTTGCAGAAAAGGAAGACTGGAAATTGATTTGGAGGTATTGAATACCTGTCATTTCTCCTCTTATAGCTGGGGCTGGCAGCCCCATTCCCCTGCTCTGCCAGGGCGGTTTGTGGTTCAGCAGAGCAGAGATCAAGAAGCACCTGTGTGTCTCCACTCTGCCTGTTGGTCAGTAGATAAGCTGGCCATGTCCAAGGCCAGGATTCCTTTTAAGGCAAGTTAAAGTATACAGATTTCTCTTGCTTTGATCTGTAAACAATGTCTGTAATTTTAGGACTCAATTATCCATAAATAAAGTCATTGCATACTGTAATTCTTAGTGTGTTATTAGAGCTAGACCCTCAAGTCATGCAACAAACCAGTGACAGAGCCTGGGTCACTGAGAGCAGATACCCAGGCTCCTATGGCTTCTGCCACATCTGTGAGTTTTCCACTGCTCCACAGATATCCTGATAAAATCCCTTGAGCTTAGAGATTTTCCCAATACATTATGCATACCAGGACTGGGCTGTAACAGAAGAGGCAGAATTTTTCTGCAGCTATGCTTCTAGCAAAGGGCACTGTCAGCATGAATATCAAAACAAAGCATCCCACTAAAAAAAGAACACAGCTTAGTCCTGTAGCTGTTTTTTCTTCAGTTTTGTTTGTTTGTTTGTTTTTGTTTTGGTGGTTTTTTTGTTGTTGTTGGGGTTTTTTGTGGTTTTTGTTGTTGTTGTTGGTTGGTTGGTTTTTAACCAACATCCACCCGTAATAGCTATCAGGGTGCAGAGTGGAGGAGGCTTAATAAAAGTCAGTAATTCTTCTGTCTTACCTCTTCTGTAGTGCTGTAGTATTGAAGAGTGGGTGTTGGAATCCAGGCGTTCTCTGTTACTGCAGATTTCAAGTCAAAGTAGAGCTTTTCAATGGGATTTTTACTGAATCGTTCAGTCACATTTCTGATGAACATCTCTGTGCTACTCTTCAGCATATTTTCAGGCCTAGAAGTAACAGCATTTGAAGAGGGGGATGTAGTTCTACTACTCCATACAGAAGTGTCTGCATCTTGGAGATCTAAGACAAACAAGGAAAAGTAATTAAAATCAGCTCAACATTTTTATAAACAATTCAGTAGATTCAATAAATATGGCTGATACAACTTCTAAGTAGTTTAAGTGCACCTGTCAGTTCTATGGGGTGTTTTGTTTGTTTTCAGTGCAAACATGTATTTTTGCATCAATACCAAAGTCTGTGCAAAACAGAAAGAAAATAATTTCCCTGAACATTCATACCATTCATTTTAAGGGTAGTCCATCAGTGATTCTGAAGTGAAGAAAGGTTGTACTTTTTCATTAACAGCACAATTTTTTCACTCACAGCTTTTTCACTTGCTTGGACCTATTAAATGGCACACAGGATCAGCTTTATGTTGTCAACCCCCTCCCCTGCTTTCTAAGTGCACAGGCCAGATTCTCATCTGCCTTTTGTTGGTGTAAGTTTAAAACATGGCTTTGGTCAGGATAATCTTTCAAGATGATTTGTTTGAGATAATTTTTTTTTTGTTTGAGATATTTGCCCAAGATAAGTTCCTTGTGCCTACATTCCTTTTGCTTTTGAAAATCAGGCCTATGCAGAGACCATGCTAGTCCCTGACTGCTGCCTTTCCAAGGCTCAGATAACAATCTATCACTTCACTGAAGTATCTGTAAATATGATGGTGGATTTGCTTTTTTAGTCACGTACCCTTCAGAGAAAGCCAAAGCTGCAATTAAAGCTCAGGAAAGATTTTACTACACATTTTTCCTCTGCATTTTCATGGCTCTTCCTCCCCATTGGTATGTACTTAATATCCTTTCTTTGTGGCTGTGAGGGCAGGGTTCAAGCTGTGGTGGCCTCTACATCTGGTAGCATCACATTTCAACTAAGCAATTGGAATTACACACTGGCCTCATCTCACAAAAAGCTGCCCTGCCACTGCTGTAGCACAGCGAGCGTGCATTGGCTCAATGCCCAAGACACTTTGTCAGTCCTTGAACTGGGGTCTCCAGCCTGACAGAACCTTGTTTGCTGCTGATCCACTGGGCTGGTTGCCATTTATAACAATTTTAGCTCACAAATCCTCTAAAAACAAAGAAACTATTGGGTTAAATTGCAGCAGAAGCTTCCAAATGCAATTACTTGGTTTGAAATTATGATGTCTTAGCAGGCCAGTGTGTGTTTAATTCTTACCCAAAGGATCAGTAGATGAGTGTCCATGAAATCTACATGATGAGTTTTCTTGTATATGTGTAAATATATATGCTAACACATTTATATAGAGAAATTTGCAGCACTCTCATTTGCACTGAGAAAGAAAACTGAGACTGTAAACCATAGTATGAGACACTTTCATGCAAGTGTTTCCTGTGCTTGACGTGTACCAGTGCATTTACCATGGTTCTGGATCTTTTTGAAATATGTTGGTTCACTGGAATGGGTTGATACCCAGATTAAATGTTTACCCTCCTTTTGTCTAATTGTGCTCAAGCTCTCATCAGCTGCTGCAACAAACCCATTAGCTGACAAAAGCCCAGACTCAGTCTAAATTCCATGTCAGTCGCTGTTTCTGGGAATCTCCTATTAGTCGTGGGTCTCTGAAAGTCTGCAGTAGGCAACTAGAAATCCTAGCCCAGAGGACTTGGAAAGAATTAGGCCTGTGCTTCTGTGCCTCCCAGATATCTCTGAGTTCAGCAGGGAGTAGAACCTACTGATAGAAAGACAGCCAAAGAAGAAGTACCTGAGCAGTAAGCAATGGCTCAGGAAAAAAGGCCACAATTGGGTTCCTAAATATAGATTGACACACCCAACTTAAAAAAAACATTAAAGAAAAAAATCTTGGCTTAATTTACAGACAAATAGCTGTGATTCCAACAGGAAGGCTTTTGCATTCCAGGGCAATTGTGCTTTAGGAGAGCTGATCCTCCATAAAAGGGAAGCTGGTGCTGCCAGCAACATTTATGGGACTCAGCAGCCAGGAATAACTGGCATTCTTGGTGCAGGAGACAAGGGGAGAGCTCGACTGTCGTGGAAGTGAAATGCTTGGTCCTCAGGAAAGTCCCACCAGCCCAAGGAGGTACCAGGAACAAGCATCTGGTCACTGTACAACCTAACTCCTCTCGTTAGAGCTTGGAGCTCTTCTGGGTTTCCAGATAAAGAATCTTTCCCAGCAAAGACTGACTACAGCCTGTTACCTGTAACACATGGATGTGTATGGCCATGCTGGAACTTCAGATGTATGTAACAGCATCTCCCAAAGATCCTATAGGATTGACTAACAGGGTTCATATCTGCCCTCACTTCAAGAAAGTCATAATCCACGTTTATATTCTCTTTCTAAGTAAAAACACTAGTGTGGTCCCAGCAGAAGGACTCTCATAGCCCTTCTTCAATAGCAGGCACTTTAAAAAAACCCCTGCATATTATAAGGCCCATGTAAGAAGATTTCTACACAACTTGAGTTCCAAATTTTTTAACCAGAAAAAACTCCCCTCTTCTCTGGACACTAGTAAAGTACACAAAAATCTCAACAGTGGGATTTTTCAGAAGTGTTTAGCATTGTTCTAGAAGTCTCTTTGGAAATCAGTCATAAAACTGCCTATGAGAACAGAACAGCAGCAGTGACACTGACGTTGATCACTAGTGGCTGAATGATATACAGCGTGTGAACATAACATTGTAATCATCAGTAGCACACCCAGGAGAAATTATGACATTCTGACTAAATGCATATTTCATCCATGGGGTGCGCTGCAAACTGCATCCGTCTGCACAGCAGCAGGCTGCTTACAAGAAAAGGAAGTCCGTACGTTTTTCATGTATGATTAGCAAGAGCACTGATTAGTTGTCAAGTACTGAGAACCCTACAGTGGTGCCTTCAGACTTAGCCAAGCTGGCACAGGGTACCTTTCTGAAATAGCTTGCATTTCACCAATCTACCTACCTTATTAAAGCACAGTTTCAGAAAACTAAGGCTGAACTGCAAGTGAAACATAAATTAATCATATATCTAGTGCATAAGAAACAAAATACTTCATAAGACTGTGTATAACTCACAGCAGGACTTGAAACTAGAAGGGTTTGCTTTAAGTTCCCTTTATCTTTTTAGCTAACTACTTGTAAATAGATTGCAAAAATAAAGACTATTTAAAAAACATAGTTCAGATTTCTGTTGTATGTAAGAATATGACAGAAGAACAAAATCCACTTAATGTCCTTTCTTTGCCATTCAATGCAGACCTTTCAAAAACTTCAAAATCTGTGCTGCTTGAAAATTTTTTACCTTCTTTATTTGAATGTTGTAGAAGTTAGCAATATTTGTATCTCATGTCAGAGGTTAAATGTCTCCAAACTCCAGTCTAATCCTGAGCTGCTCTTTTACTTGCTTGTTTTTGAAATGCTGAAGTAGCCACTTAGAGGCTCTTTCAGCACCAGTGGTAGCAGAACATCTCAGATATATCTCTGATGATAACACCACTGCTGTACCAACCCTATTTCTGACATTCTGGATAGTCCCAGCTCACGCTGAAGTGGATTTTTGGTCACTGAAACGCATCTAGACTGCATAAACTCCATGGATTACATACATGTCTACTGAAGAGAGTTCAGAAAGTTACCTCTATGCAGATACCTATGGCTTGGTTCAGTTGCCTAAATCTAGTAGAATATGAACTGCCCTCAGGCCCTCTGCTCAGGGCTCTCATAACACCTATGGGAAACCTATGTCTTTCTGGGCTGGCAGTCAGAGATCGGGTGGAATATCCTGGAGCGTCTCAAATGACAAAAAGCACCTATGTTGAGACAACTGAAATAAGCCCTTCCTTCAGACACCTATATTTAGACACCTCAAACCCTCTCCAGCTTCTACAGAGAGGTCCACACAAAATAAAGGGAGAGAATGTAATAATGAAAAATACCAATAGGGTTGTCTGGAACTGGCATCTTTGTTTGTACTTCCAGGAGAAGATGAAATCATAAAGCAGGATTTGCCTTAATCCTGATTGCTCTGGGAAGCTGTTCCTAGTGTTCCATTTTTTCCCTATGAAGGTATCTGAGCTGATTTTGTTCTATATTTTTTGTGCTGTGTCTCACTGAGACTTTGAAAATTTACAAAACCCAGAGATCTAGGTACACTGTAGATTTCTCCATTTCTTTTTAAAAAATCTAAACCCACATTTATTTTGATTTATCTTATGATTTTTTTTAATGTTGGGTCAGCTCAAAGGTGGAACGAAAATATTGATTATCACTGTTCTAATTTATCCTGGAGAATTTTTGTAAAAGATACACACACAAAAATCCAACCTCTAGTGAACCTATGGATGGATTATTGCAGTCACTACAAACACTAAAGGTGTGGAAAAATTAAAGTCCAAAGATATTTACATGATCTTAAAAACGGGTAAGAGTTGCTGCCTTTTCTGTGATTCTGCCACCCTTCTTTGGTGTTCTTCCACCTTCCCAGGAGTCCCAAGAAAATGGATGTGTCTTCCCTTTCCACATTCTGCAGCTGCTACTGCTGCTTCAGTGGTTGGGAGTGTGCTTGGAGTGTACATTGCTCTGGTATCTTCTGTGCTCCATCTCAGCCATTGAAGCATCAGCAGTTCTGATTATGAAGTAGATAAACTTAAAAGGAGTAAGGGAAAGAGAAAAGTCCACATGAAAGAGAAGATACTGGGCAAGAAACAAGAGTGGAAAAGGAGGAAGGAACAGTGTGAACGTCAGATCGCACATCAGACTTCGGCTCATATGTAATATCTGATATTTTGTCTATTTTAGAGTGAAAACAAAACAAGGGAGAGAAAGATGCTCTAGTTGTTATTTTAATTCCTTGTCCTACATGTTTTATATCTTTGTAGATCCCACTTTGGTTCTTAAGTGCTTGGCACATAACAGTAAGTAATAAAACCTTTCTCCTCCACAAAATCAACTACTGTTTTGAATGTCTTGATATCCACAGCTCTAGGGTTGTCCCTACCATGTACGATATGATAGAAGAGAAATGCAATGAAAAGCATCATATTACAAAACAGTTTATGCCACCTTTTGCATCCAGACTGCTCTACAGCCCATGTGACAGTCTCTAGATCTCTGTATAACTGCAGCATACAGCTTGGCATTGTGTCTCCCTATTTGAAGTCATTCTCCACTTAGTGAATAATTTTTGGTCGCAGTGGTTTTGAGGCGTGTTGGCACGTAGCATTGCATCTATTCTTTAATTGGATATTTTATTGAAATTAACCTACCTGGAACAAAAGAAGCTTGTAAGAATTGCTTACACAAGTCAGGAGTGACATCAGTGTAAGCGTGTCAGCATTAGTGGTGCTCTGGGTGCTTTCCAGATAAGAGAAGGCATTTGTTCTGCAAGTGTTATTTACCTGCAACAGTCTTCATCATCCTGCCTTCTACCTCTTCACCTCCCCCATCTTTTCCTCCTCCCTGTTTCCATTCCTGTCCCTTCTCCTGGTTTCTGGGCTTAAAGAAGCTCTGAACCCAAAAGTGGGCTGGTGAAAAGAAGGCCTTAGCACTCCTGAGACTACTTCTCTCTCTGCCCAGAATCTCCTCACGAATTTGATGGGAAACAAAGCCTTACTTTCTCAAGGGAGGTCAGATTCAAACATGGGTTTGTGTGAGAAGGACTGTTTGCTGTTAGATTTAAAATCATCTCTGAGTGAACAGAGATGGGATACATCCCCAGACTGAACCTGATTTTCACAAGTGGTCATTGAGGTCAGGACTCTTGCAAAACATGTACATCCAGATACATCTAAGATGGTTGATTGGAAATCCAAATCCAAGCTCAACCTTTCCCCATGCTCAGAAAAATTATGTTTGACATTTAGGAAGGTCCAGAAAAAAAGGTAGTTGCAGTTGTTGGGTTTGGAGCTTGTAGTCTGTCTGGGCTGATAAGATGTTTAGGATGCAATTCACTGAGTTACTCCTATGCCAAAATATAATTATTTTTATGAGTACTATGAAAACAGAGAGTAAATTATATCAAAATATGGTGTTAGTCAGGAGTAGAAAAACAGCCATCTCAGTTCCAAAGATTTTGCTCAGTTTTTACTACCTTAGATAAATATAGACCAAATATGTTATTTTAGGCTAATCCACTGCTGCTTTTACTGAAAACAGATAGATGTTCTTAGAAGACTAATTTTGCACATTCAGCATTGAAAATTTTGACATGTACATGGATACCAAGACCAGAACTGGGGGCATTAGATTTTGTTCTTGTAGTACTTATCATTATTTCAAAAACTAATATCTGTGCACTATTTTCACTCTTTATGAGTTTCTTACATTCATGAAATTCTTAGTAGGTATTGAGGATTATAAAGTTTTTTAAAAGGGCTAGGAATTAGTACCCACAATTCTGTTTAGAAATGAAAAAAGGAAATGACACAATAATAGTGAGCTGAGCTTACACATAAGCACTTTGATCCAAAGATTGCGAGTAGAGAAAAGGAGAGATATCCCAAAAATATAAAGTGGCTTAAAAACTCCACCAGTTGTGACAAAGACAGCACTCATCTCAGCTGTTCTTTTGTAGTTCTCTAAATGACTTTCAACTATCAAAAGCATTTTTCTGTATGAATAAAACATCAGAATTTTTTACATTTGAGCTAGCATAACAGAGACATTTTTGTTGCCAAAACTTCCAGGATACTTCCTTGAAGGAGTAACTCACCTTGCTTTGAGCACAGATTTACATAAACAGGTTTTCCCGTCTCACTGGCTTCTAGCTGCATCCATGTATGAAGGTATTTTTTACTCTGCTTGGCCATTACCTTCTGACCTTGCTTTGTGAGAAAAAGAGAGCTGTTTGCCACCTTCAGGAGCCCATCCTCGTGGCAAGTCCACCTGACTGCCTGGGGACAATCAACGATGATGCTGCGAGAGGACAGAGCAGAGCGCGTAGAGATGCTCAGGCACTGGGCAGATTTCACATGGAGGAGCCTGTCATCTGCTGTCCACCGCCACTTCTGGTTGAGGTTTGTCATATTGCACTTTTCCATAATGACTCCTCTCTTTTCTGAAAGACACTGCTGTTTCTGGACATGGATAATCAGAAACCCTTCTGGAAAAGCAAAATTCCAGAAAAATACAATAGATTACACATGAGTATTTAACAAAAAGCAAATTCTTGATGATTTAAAATACATCAGCAACTAAATCTCTCTTCTCATTTTCTATGTGCTGAACTTTTCATGCAACATTCTATAAGTTGAACCTATTTAAAAAAAAACACAAACACACTAGCCATATGATGCAAGTGCTAGTAATGTAAATTATGAGAATGCAAAAAGAAAACTGTTGTGGTAAGGTCAATATGGCCTTCATTATGTATAAAAATGAAGAAAAAATTAAACCAGATATAAAAGAAATCCAAGAACTATTAACTTCAAATACCAATTCTAAATATCTCATTTCCTTTGCTTGAAAGCATACAGAGATCTACACAAGCTCTCAGTCTCTTTTTCAGTTTTACAACACAGATATTTTAAAATATAATTTACTGCCTGGGAGTTGTTTTAGTAAAATTCATAGTGTTTCTGAAGAAAACATATAAGAAACATATAAGAAAACATATTCACAAATCTGTGTGCTTCTCAGTGCCTGTGTCATTACAGGAATGGAGTTTCTTTACTGATAGGAAGTACATCTATGTTACTGGATTTACTCCAACGTCTCTAGCTGTTAGTTTTGTGACCCTTCCAACCCATGCAAGATTAGCTCTCTGTGTCACCACGCTTAAAAGATCAACACTAGATACTCAAATGAAGAGAACTACAATGCATTCATCAAAACCCCACAAAGTTACAGAATACGGAAATGATTATTTCAAATGCAGTCTCCCTACCATATTATGTTTGGGTTTTTCTCTGTTTATAATCTCAGTTACTCAAACATTTCCAGCCTCATTAGTCACAAAGTGCTAAACCAAACATGTATTTATTTCCCTCAGTTGATATTTGTCAATCCCCTATTTTCACAGACCTCAGTATTTTCTAACTAAGCATCACAGAAAGCTCCTGTCTCTGAAGTCACACAAAGTCTAAATAAATAGGAATGTCCCCTTTAAAGAGTTTGTCCCAAAACTCATCTTCTGGATTGTCTATCAGGAGATCTTCTTAAAAAAAGAAGATGTATCTCCAGCATAGAAGGAGACAGTTTGTTTTCCTTTGGAAAGAAATCTAAACAGAACAGGCTATGTTGGCCCTGCCCCCCATTCCTCTTGTATGAACCACAGCAAAGAGGTGACTCATTTTTTTTAAGTCACCGGCTATGCTGGAGGGCTCTGCTCAGTGGCAGAAGGAGCAACACAGAGGAGGGGAAGGAGGGAGAGACACTTACCTGAGAATGTCAAGGCAAGACAGGTAGAAACCAGGACGTGAAATAAAGAATCCATTTTCCCTCTAGCAACTCCCCATGCTTCTCTTAAAAAAACCCACCTCAGATAAGTGAAGCGAAGGCTAGGAAGGAAATGTGCCTTCACAGGGGGAAAAAGTCAGTGACGAGCACTTCCTTCTATTCAATTGTTTTCGGGAGTTTTACAGCACTTTGTCCTTTTATACGATTCTTCAGAGTGTACTAATTGGTTTATTTTGGAAAAATACAAGCAACAGAGAGAGACATTTTCAAACACCTGGGAGACTTAGAGATTATATTGAATCTCTTTAGACTAAAAGAAAGGGGATTATACTTTTGTGTAATTTTTTGCCTGTGAAATATTACAAGTTTGCAGGTCATCTGGATGTTGCAGGGTAAATATATGCTGTAATATCCTGGGAACAAACACATATTTTTTGCAACTATACACAATCAAGCAAAATCTCAATACTGATACTTCTAACTCCACAAGTTCTAAAAGCCAAGTGGAGGGTGGGGGAGAAGGGGAAGAAGAGGAGGCAAACTTCTGGTATCTGTATCAGGTCTTACAGAAACTCCCCATGAGGAATCAAATGATGCTGGGTTTGCCTTCCCATCAGGTGGTGCACCTTGCTCCATGTCAGTGGGATATTGCTATTGCATGTGTCCTCTGGATTGGTTCCCAAGTGGTATGAAGCCATGGGGGAGGCTAACCAAATTGTACTGGGTTGAACCTCTTTATGGGGGTACAAGATTGTGTGAGGCATTAACTACTCTAGGCAAGAATAGAGACTTCAGTTAATATTTTATATCAAGTTTAATTTATTAGCAGTATGAAGCAAAGTCAACATCACTGCATTAAAAACTCAATATACCCTGTAAACAGATCTCCCAGTGCTGTAAGTCATAATGCCAACTTTGCATATCTCTTAAAAACAAACTCATACTGAACAGTAAAGGAAACAGTCATAGCAGCATTTTCTTTCTTGTATAACTTGTCATGGATCAGTCCATATCACTAAAGGCATCTGTCTCTTCCTGAAAGAGATAGAGCAGATAAACAACATATGCTAAAATTTCCATATTAATAAAAGACATACAAATATTTAAAATCCTTACCATTTAATATATCCTACAAAGTTTGTTTTAAAAGCAGAATGACTTACACAATTTACAAATACACTGGATTCAGGTCTGTAGCAGAAGCATGTTCTAAGACAATCAACAGTATAGGGTAAATACAAACACACTGAAGAACAAACGTTGTGCTCTGTAAGACCCACAGTAAATACACATTTAATAGTTAACAGTATGAAGAACATATATTTCCATACAAATTATTAACTGCTTTTGAATATTTTCAAAAACAAGATGTTTAATTCTTTTTTTATTATCTCATTTTTTTTTAAATCCATAATTGAACACTTGCGATTTTAGCAGCAAGAATATTATGTGGCCAAGAAACAAGCTCACCACATAATCAGTAATAGCACTTTACATTACAGTTGACAGTCCATTCACAAGACAGTTTGCAAACGTCAAAGCATTTATACACTTGTTAAACATATCTTCTGTAGAAGTCCCAATGTCCATCTGACTGCAGCAGTAGCACATACATACATTCCATATGGCAGATATCAACATTACAGAATTAAACCCACCTTTAGATACATACACAAAATCCGTGTGCAGTTTCAGGACAGAACCTTCTTTATAAATCATTTTTGGGAAGCTCACAATACATTCATATATAGTAAGGGTCCAGCAATCTCCATACTTTTGCCAAACCGTCCACAATCCTTTCAGAAGTTGGCCTCAAAGCTGTCTTTCCCACTGCAGTAAACTCCTTGAAGAAGCTGCTGCTAGGTAATGAAACAAATTACCTCAAGAGACTGACATTCAGTTTTACACTCCTTGGCTTCACTGGACAGCTTCTGCAGAAAGTCTGCTTTCATACAGACTCAGTGCATGGTGCACAAATTCATACTGCTCACTGGTCTGAACCATTCCACCCCTGGAAAGGAAACACACTGGGCTGAAATCTTATTGTTAATAATGCAACAACTTCCAGCCTCTGACAGCCCCATGACCACCAGATAATACGAGCCCTTTTGTCAATTTTTGGCTTAGAGTTTGCTCAAGTAAGTGGGAGATTTGGCTAAGCAGAAGTACTTTCTTCATAACTTACGCCATCCAGCACATGCCCAGCAAGAAGCATTCCTAGTTCCATCAGAGTAAGAACTAGAGAAGAAAACATCTGGTACCTACATTATAAAACATACATTTAAAATTCAATACATTCAAAGAGAATTTTTCTCAATCAGTTGGGCAAGGAAGGCCAGATACTTGGATGCAGCATTATCACTGATGGAGCAAGGAAATAGTCAGAATCTGGCCTTTCATTTTTGTCCTTTACTAAAAATGTAACCTTTGGTGACCTGCAGAGAACAGCTCTTCCTGTCCTCTTTCTAACGCCTACGATGCATCCTGTCCGAACAGCAGCCTAAGACACTTTGCAGCAGTGAATCATTTCACCACCAACAATACAAAAGAGTTTAACTTGACCATAAAAAGGACTAGTTACAGCCAGCTTGGATTAAATGCCTACATTTTATACATTCACCTGATAACAATCCTTTTTCAGGTCTAAGTATGAGGATCAAGTCCCATATGTCAGTGCCACTTGCAGTGTGGTAGGAAGGGGATGTCATACTGGAGGTAGGTGTGATATTTACTACAAGTGGTACCATTTAACTCTGAGATTAAACTGAGCCTCTTTCTGTCAGTACTGAGATATTCCAGGTCTCCCTTCTCACGGAGTATAGCTTCAAGTTCATCCTCAGTGTACCCTGGAGCAATGAGTTACCTTTGTGATGATGAAAGATTAAATGGCCTTAGCGGGAAGGAAGACATTAAGATATGTATCGCATTTGGCTTCAGTTATATCTTCATTGAAATATTCAAATTTGTGAGATATTTGGATCCAGAGCACTGTTGAAGCCAGATATCTTACAAGGACAGACTCCCATGAGCTCTCTAGCAACAAATACAGTACTGATATACCAAGCTACTTGAAAAATGATAAAACTTTTTGAAAAAGTATCGTCCTTTAGTATTAGAGAACTTTATCTACAACAAAGCGTCCTTTTATTTTCCTCAGTGCTACTGGGTAAATGGCTGTGGCAGGCAAATCATAATTAAAATAATATCTACTTTTTTAAGCACGTGACCAGCTGTCTGTGTTCCCCCAATGAGCTCAGGCAAATGTCGAACATCTTTTAGTGAACTGCATGTCTATTATGATATGCTATTCCTAGGAACAAAATCACAAATTTCCAGGTTTCATCTGGCACAAAATATGGGAAGCCGCATGAGGAGCAGCTGAGGTCACTTGGTCTTTTCAGCCTGGAGAAGAGGAGACTGAGGGGAGACTTCATTGCAGTCTACAAGTTCCTTGTGAGGGGAAGAGGAGAGGCAGCCACTGATCTCTGTGGTGACCAGTGACAGGACCTGGGGCAATGGCCTGAAGTGGTGTCAAGGGAAGTTTAGGCTGGATATTAGAAAGAGGTTCTTCACTCAGGTTGGGCACTGGAACAGGCTCCCCAGGGAAGTGGTCACAGCACGAAGCCTGACAGAGTTCAAGAAGCCTTTGGATGATACTCTCAGGCACATGGTGTGACTCTTCAGGATGGTCCTGTGCAGGGCTAAGGATTGAACTCAATGATCCTTGTGGGTCCCTTCCAACTTGGCATATTCTGTGATTCTGTAAAAATGCAGCAGACTCTTAGCTTTGCCAACAAAGACACAGATTCATAACTCTTGGCTGCCTGTTGTCTTCAGCTGCTTGCCTCTTTGCTTGTCCTCTACCCAGAGATCCAGCCAGAGACTGAAGGTGATGGGAGGGTTTGCTCTGGTCCTCTGTGCTGCCTAGTCTCCTTTCTTTCTCATCACTGCTGCATCCTGCTCTGCCCACACAATCCCTTTCCAGCCAGCTTCCCTCTCTGTCTCCCCCATCGACGTTCCTGCAAGATGTTCTCTAAGGGAGTGCACTTCCCAGGTTAGATCAGCTGTGTGGAATGGGTGGAGGAAGGAAACATATCCAGGCAGAAGGACTCAGCAGGAAGGGCAGGCTAAAACAAGTTTGACTGTACTAGGCTGTTTGAGGTGGTGATCCTTGCTCCTTCATCTTCCTTACTTCTGCTGAAGTACATGACAAGAAGGTATATATAAGACTGGCTTGGGCTGAGCCCAGCACTACCCCATTTGCTCTGTGTTAGCAAGCATAACCGAAATGTTATCATGCTTCTGAACCTTGTATAGGCAAACCAATGCACACCTCTGTCAGCTTAAGGACACTTGAGTCTTATACAGAGGTTCAGACAACTTAGCCTTGTCAGTGCCGTTATACATGGGATTCATAGAACCATAGCATCACAGAATTGTTTGGGTTGGAAGGGACCTTAAAGACCACCTAGTTCTAAACCCCCAGCCATAGGCAGGGACACCTTCCACTAAGTCAGAAGGTTGCTCAGAGGCCCATCCAACTCAGTTTTGAATGCTTCTAGGGATGGGGTAACCACAACTTCTCTGGGCACCCTCACAGTAAAGAATTTCTTCCTAATACCCAATGTAAATTTACTCTCTTTTAGTTTAAAACCATTACAAGTCATCCTATCACTACAGACCATGGTAAAAAGGCTTTCTTTGTCTTTCTTATAAGCCCCCTTTCATACTGAAAGGCCGCAAAAATATGTCCCTGGATCCTGTTGTTCTCCAGGCTGAACAGCCCCATTTCTCTCAGATTTCCTTCATAGGAGAGGTGTTCTATCCCTCTGACCATTTTCATGGCCCTTCTCTGGATCCACTCTAGAAGTTCCATGCCTTTTTTGTCCTGGGGACCCCAGAGCTGAATTTCTGGGCTGGAAGTGCACATTGCCAGCTCATGTCCAATTTTTGATCTACCACTATCCCCAAGTTCTTCTCTCCTTCGTTCTTGTGCAAGGCTGACATCTAACAGCAGGGAATTATCTGTGAGCCCCAGACATCAGTTTGTGCAAATAGCTGTGTGGAAG